CTTCTCTTTCAAATCTATTTCACTTTTAAAAGGAGGGTGAGGTTTTGAGATTTTATGGCAGGAGGAGGGTAGCTCACCCCTCACCTTATGGGTCATGCTGAGCATTTTGTATTATGTTGACATTTGCAGTGACTCAGCTAATTTGGGGCTGGAGTATTTGCAGAATACGGGCTGATATCTGCAGTTAATAATTTTGCTTCCAGGTGTTTTTCTCTTTTAAAATATATTTTTATTGATTTCAGAGAGGAAAGAAGAAGGAGAGAGAGAGAGAGAGAGAGAGAGAGAGAGAGAGAGAGAGAGAGAACCTTCCATGATGAGAGAGAATCATGATTGACTGCCTCTTGCAAATCCCCCACTGGGGATCGAGCCCATAACCCAGGCATGTGCCCTTGACTGGAATCAAACCAGTTAGGGTTTCCAGATATTTTTCATACATGAAATGGAAACTTTCCTGTCTGAGTTAGATTGAAAAAGCCCAAGATATTGGATGTTTCCCCCCGTGAAGAGCTTTTAAAAATAAACTTCATTAGGGAATATAATATTTTGGAAACATATTGCTGAGGCGAAATCATAAAGTTTTCTGTGAACAAGTTGATTTTTGGTGGATTCACCAGGAGGAGCTTTTTATGTAGTTCTCTCTCTAGGACCCAAAAAGCCCACTTGGATGCATTCATGTCAGAATCGGATGCATTGGCAGTGGTGGCAGTCTGCTGGTGTAGCACTCCGCTCTGAAATACCATTTCAAACCAGTCAGTCACTGAGATAATTCCTCTTCCCAGGATGGCAATGGATATTTAATGGCTTCCCAAACTGTCCTTGTTCTCTTAATTTGTTATAATATTCCATATTATAACTATCATAGCATATTATAACTTAGAACAAGTCTTGTGATGGGTAGGTTGAAAGATAGTATCTGTCTAGAAAGTCAATTGTCCATCCCAGCTGACAGCCAGCCAGGATTTCCAGACTGAACTTGATTGAGGTCTTCCCTGCTCTCCCACCTCTGGGTAGCTCCTCAATCCATTCTGAGAAAGATGATGAAATTGTCCTCAAAATTTTAAATCATTTCCTGGGAAGTTTATGCAAAAGTCAATGTAATTTTTAGATGCACATTTGTACAGCATTATATCAATACTTTTTGGGGGTGATCTTTCCTTCGTCCTTTTAAAACGTAGCTACGGTCCTAGCTGGTTTGGCTTAGTGAAAAGAGCGTCAGCCTGTGGACTGAAGGGTCCTGGATTTAATTCTGGTCAAGGGCACATCTGGGTTGCGGGCTTGATTCCCAGTGGGAGTGTGCAGAAAGCAGCTGATCAGTGATTCTCTGTCATCATTGATGTTTCTATCTCTCCTCCCTTCTTCTCTGAAATCAATAAAAATATGTTAAAAAAATAAAATGTAGCTATGGCAATGCAGCTTTCACACCTGTAATTTACCCTGCTACTCTGTAGATTTTTTAAACTACCCAAGTCTATGGTGTCCTTAAAGAGCAAGTTGGGGCCAAGCAATACATGTCTTATTGCAATTTTTAAATGAGTTCTCATATGCTTTCATATTTGTTGTGGTTCGTCAACAAAATAAACACTGAATCTTCTCTCTCTCTAGCAGGTTATGTATTTTACATACGATAGATCTGTGATCCACTCTGGGCTTGTACTTTAGGTGTCATTTAAACAGTAACAAAATAGTGTTTGCTTCTTTCCACCTTGTCATTTCATATTGACATTAATATTACAAATGAATGAGTTGCTTTTTTAATAGAACTTGAACAATATTTCCTGTTTGTCAAGTGTCCTATTTAAACCGCAGATAAAGTATAAAGTGATTTATTACTTGCAGCATTTTATTACTTAAGGAGACTTTTCTGAAAACATTACTTGAGCTTCATCCTGGGTGATTTATATTCATCACTTTGTCTCCACTTGTTAAACACTCTCTAATTCCATGACATCATTAAGCAAGTTTGGGCTACTTTCTATAGAGTCTCAAATCCTTTGGCTGTCTCCTCTTCTCACTTTCTATAAACTTTGTTTCATGTTTCTAATCTCTGTGAGAATGGATGCCACTTCCAGCATTCTCACCATTCTTGTCTGTTGTCCCTTGAGGTCAGAAAGACAAGCACAACCATATGAATCTGGATCAAAAGTCAACAGTTAAAATTCATATGCAAGTAGGCACTGGCTTTTTCTTCTTAGGGAGAAGTCTAGCTCTTAAAAGAAAGGAACACATTTCTCTAATTTAAAAGTTGACTGGAGAACTGAACTTCAGTTTCAAAATAGAACACATGCCTGTTGTGTGGTTTTAAAATAATTTTAGGGCAGGTTAATAATCACCCTGTTCTTAATATTTTATTCAGCACTCTAAATATATTTCATAAGGCAAAATGGTTCAACAGTATCCATTTTAAAAATTGAATGTGCTTTTAACATATACTACAGTGCATCTCAGTATGTTCTAGCCTTTTCTAAAACTGGAAACAGTCATTTATCCTGTTTTCCTGAAAATAAGACAGTGTTTTATATTATTTTTTTCTTCCAAAGTTGCGCTAGGTCTTATTTTCAGGGGATGTCTTATCTTTCCATGCGTTAGGTCTTATTTTCGGAGGATGACTTATTTTCGGGGAAACACGGTAGTACCAATGCAGTATCTTAACTCATGCTAAGGAAACACCAAATGAGGATTTTCACCTCAACATGGTTTTCAGACTAGCCGAGTATTGTTGCCTTGACCTGAGGATAATACTGGCCACGCCATAAATGTAAGTCCTGGGTGGTCCAGGCCCAGAAGAATAGATCTGGGAAGATTGATAGAGAGAAGCTTCTTTTTGCTAAAATGTATTTTATTGATTTTTACAGAGAGGAAGGAAGAGGGATAGAGAGTTAGAAACTTTGATGAGAGAGAAACATCAATCAGCTGCCTCCCTCCTACACACTCACTACTGGGGATGTGCCCATAACCACGGTACATGCCCCTGACTAGAATCGAACCTGGAACCCTTCAGTCCACAGGCCGAGGTTCTATCTACTGAGCCAAACCGGTTAGGGCGAGAGAGGCTTCTTGATGTGGCTGAGATGGCCTAAGATTCTGGAGGCTGCACTCAACTGGTTCCCGTGTCTGTCCTTCTGCCATTAATCCAGGCTGGATCTGCTTGTTCATATGTCTTAATTTTTTTTTAGTACTAGAGAACCCAAGATTTAATTTTTAAATGATTATTTTATTTTTTGATTACAGTTTGCATTCCACACTATTTTGTATTAGTTTTGGGTGTACAGCACAGCAGATAGACATTCATATACTTTACAACATGTTCCCTCTGATAATTCCAGTGTTCACCTCCAAGATTTAATCTACTGTCATGGTTTGATGGGAAACATGTTGGATTTAAGACAACTTAGCATTGCTCTTTTTCTCTGAGTAGTGGTTTCATGCTTGGCTATTTATGCTGTGGTTAGTGATTTAAGTAGAAGTCTTGTGACTATGGATTCATTTTGATATCTTATCCAATGTGCCTAGAATATGAAAAACAACATTTTTAGGTTGTCTTGATTATCAAGGCTTGATACTCCATACAAGTGTTTGTTTTATATTTGAAGGTATAATTTACATGAACTCTATTCAGGCAAATCAAATAATCTTAAATTTGATTTGTTTTCCTGCCAAATCCCATGTTTTTTTTTTCTTGAGGATTGGCTTGTGGGGTTGATTTTCTAATTTGTGATCTGCTCATATGAAGTTCCTCAAGTGGGGATGTTCTTACCCAGCCTGGCTTTGTCCTATGTCTGTTTCTTCCTGGGACTGACCTTATACCGCCTCCTTCCCTACTCTAACATGCTTCATTATCCTGAGCAAGACAAAGAGCCACGTGGACCGCCTATGGCGTAAAAGACTCAGCAATGGAGAGTGGGGAAGGGAAACACCACCCTGGCTAAGAGACCATTTTTGGCAAGAGGTGTGGCTAGGTTTGGCACAGGAACAAGTATCTGAGCATCTCTCCTCTTTGGGGCTTTCAAGGCTTTCAGAAATCTGGCTCCATATCACATATCCCACCTCACTTCCCAAGACTTCTGTTTGACCAGTCTCCTAAATGTCCTGCAACCACACAATGTCAGATTCTGTGGTACTTCCGGTGAATATTGGGGAATCAAGCCCTTCCCTGTGAACACCTTTAGTGTTTGCTGTCTTCTTTAGCTTTCCTCTCCATCTAAGGCGTAGCCTTCTTGATGAAGGTAGATGCCATATTTCTTTTTATCAGTGATGGGCCTTAAGAAACTAGGCATTAACTAATTGTAGGTCGATAATTCTAGTAATGGCATCCTTCTTTGTGGACTCAACTATTGGCTCTAGATTTAGGGACACTGAGCTTTAATTTCAGTTTTCACTGAGCTCTAAGGTGATGGTATTGAAAATGCCCACATAGGAAATAGCTATCATCTTGATTTTTATGAAGAAAGTTCTGGTAAATAATGAATTAAGCCTTAGCTGGTTTGACTCAGTGGAAAGAGCATCAGCCTGCAGACTGACAGGTCCAGGTTTGATTCCGGTCAAGGACATATGCTGGGGTTGTGGGCTTGGTCCCCAGTGGTGGGCTTATAGGAGATAGCCTATCAATGATTCTCTCTCACCATTGATGTTTCTATTTTCCTCTCCCTCTCCCTTCTTCTCTTAGATTAATAAAAAAATATAAAAATAATGAATTAATATTAGTAACATTTCTAGGTAAAATATTAAATTTCTTTAAAAAAATTCAGCAATAACTTCATTTACTTGCAAAAGTAAGTTTATTGAAGCACAGAAGCCATCAGAGCAAAGTTGTCATTTCAACTTTTTTAAGAGCATTCTAATCAGTAAAGAAGAGGCTGCCGGAAAATTGGTTAGTCATCTATTTCTGAACAGGAACATTTCCCCGAAGTTATCCAGAAAGCTGGGGAGATTGATGCGATGTCTTCCTTTGTGTCCTTTAGATTTTGTTCTCTGAAGGACACTCTTAAGGATCTGGAAATTTCTCATTTGACTTTCACCTCAGAAATATTGCTGACGTGAGATGAGACGACCTTGCCATCCACCACCTCCTCTATGATGGTCTTAGTCACTCTAGTCTTGCTTGGATCTGAAAATCATAGGATCACAGTGTCAGACTGGACATGGTCTGGAGAAATACAAGTACACTCACGAATTATGTTCTCTCTGGGTAAGGTTATGTAAACAACAGTATATACTTTATCCTTTTTAAATTTTTTTTAAAGATAAGTTTTTATAGATTTTAGAGAGAGGAAAGGAGAGGGAGAGAGAGAGACAGAAACATCAATGATGAGAGAGAATCATCGACTGGCTGCATCTGCATACCCCCTACTGGGGCTTGAGTCTGAAACCTGGGCATGTGTCTTGGCTGGAAATCCAACCTTGACCTCCTGGTTCATGGGTTAGTGTTTAACCATTGAGTCTTACCAGCCAGGCAACAGTATATACCTATACTTTTAATATCACAAGCAAAACATGTCTTTTTTAAAAAAATATATATATATTTTATTGATTTTTTTACAGAGGAAGGGACAGGGATAGAGAGGTAGAAACATCAATGAGAGAGAAACATTGATTAGCTACCTCCTGCACACTCCCTACTGGTATGTGCCTGCAACGAAGGTACATGTCCTTGACCAGAATCAAACCTGGGACCCTTGAGTCTGCAGGTAGACGCTCTATCCACTGAGCCAAACCGGTCAGGGCTGTCTTTGCTTTTAAATTATAAAATTATGAACATTAAAAAAAAAATGCCTACCTCTTCCCTGGCTAGAATGGCTTCCAGACTTTGACTCACCAGATGTGGAATCCCTGGATCCCATGTTTCTGGATCTCGAGTTTTTGAAGTCAGATCCTCCAAAATTGGAACCACTGGAGAAAAAAGAATGGTTTTCCTTTGCATGTGGCAAAGGCAGGAAAAACTCCTCCAGAAGAGGGCGCTCTGGGATGAAGGTAGATGCCATTTGACTGGGCCGTCACTGTGACTTTATGAATAGAAGTCTAGCCCCCAAACCCCTTTTTGGCTTTCATTTACCTGCCCTCGCCATCGAGCAGGCGGCGGTAGGTCTCGATCTCCATCTCCAGGCGGGTCTTGATGTCCAGCAGTTGCTCATACTCCGCGTTCTGGCATTCGGTCTCGCCCCGGATCTGACAGATCTGCTCCTCCAGGCTGCCGATCCGCATCTGAATTTCCGACAGCTGAGTCATGTAGTTAGCCTCCGTGTCGGCCAGGGTCCCTTCCAGGGACTTTTTCTAAGAGAAAAATAAATAAATAAGAAATTCACGATGAAAAGAAAATCATAAAATTTTACAAGGTACTGGGAGACGTTCACCTTTGCCAAATCGCAAGTTGTATTTCTTTTCTTTTTTTTGTTTTGTTGGCATTACTTTAAAAAATTAAATCGATGGAAATAGCATATTATATCTTTACTTGGAATGTTTTATGTGTTCTGTGTCCACAATACTGTCCTCCTTAACGCTGCTTTTACCATGTGCCAAGTGGCACATCTTGGCAAAGAGGGAAGACCGAATCCCTCAGCCCCCCGTGTCGGAGATTTTGGAGAGCGCTCTGCACACACCATGGCCAGCTGGGACTGGAGCTCAATTTCCAGGGCCTGCAGGGTCCGTTTCAGCTCAGTGATCTCATTCTTGGCAGAACTGGCTGCCCCGGCGTCGGTGGAGATCTGTGCTTGCAGGGATGCGCTCTGAATAGAAAGGAAATGCAGTCACGGTGGGCTGAGCGGACGTGGCTTCCCGGTGGCCACAGGCTCGGCCGCTCCACGCTGGTGACATGCCTGCTTCTGGAACTGCTCCTCGGCCTCCCGGCGGTTCTGCTCAGCCAGCTCCTCGTACTGCGCCCTCATGTCATTCAGTAACTTGGTTAGGTCAGTGCCTGGGGCGGCATTCATTTCTACCGTCACCTCCCCTCCGGAGCTCCCCTGCATAGTCTTCATTTCCTAAAAGAAAGTAAGAAAAAAAAAAAAAAAGGATCAGAGTGATAAAAACAGAGAAGCAATGGTCTTTCTTCCTAAAATGCATAGTTGAAACTAAGATACTGAAGGGGAAAGATACCCCCCACCAAATTCAGCTACAATTTGCTCATTATTACTTTTTTCTTTTCTTAAAAATTTTTATTTTATTTTTTTACAGAGAGGAAGGGAGGGGGATAGGGAGTTAGAAACATGGATGAGAGAGAAACATCGATCAGCTGCCTCCTGCACACACCGTACTGAGGATGTGCCTGCAACCAAGGTACATGCCCTGGACCGGAATCGAACCTGGGACCCTTGAGTCTGCAGGCCGACGCTCTACCCACTGAGCCAGACCGGTCTCGGCATTACTTTTTTCTTGGCCGTAGGAGTTGGAAATCCGTTCCGATGGTGCTATTTTATTTTACAGAATGGCTGTGGGGGAAGCAGGGAGGCCAGAGCGGTTTAGTCACGTGGACGATGTTCCTACCTCCTCGTGGTTCTTCTTCAGGTAGGCCAGCTCCTCGGTGAGGCTCTCAATCTGCATCTCCAGGTCGGAGCGAGTCATGGTCAGCTCGTCCAGGACCTGCCGAAGGCCATTGGTATCGGCCTCCACGGCCTGCCGGACGCGCAGCTCATTCTCATACCTGGAAGGGGTGGCCGAGAGACAGAGCGGTACACGTCAAAGAGTACACCTGGCCTTATATCCTCAACAAGGGGTGTTCTCCTTGACCAACAAATCTTAGGATTTTTTCCCTTATAAAGAAAAAGAGAGCCTAATGTTACTTTTATTGCGGGCTAATAGTTTTTATGCCAAAAAGGCCATTCTTCATTTCTCTCCTTTCCTTCTTGGTCGGATGATGGTCTTTTAAATTTACATTTGGGACGTTTGTGAATTTAGGTCTTGATCCCCTGAAAGTTGGTTTTTATTTATTTATTTTATTATTTTTTATTTATTTATTTTAAAAATATATTTTATTGATTTTTTACAGAGAGGAAGGGAGAGAGATAGAGAGCCAGAAACGTCGTTGAGAGAGAAACATCCACCAGTCGCCTCCTGCACACCCCCCACCGGGGATGTGCCCGCAACCAACGTACATGCCCTTGACCGGAATCGAACCTGGGACCGTTCAATCCGCAGACCGACGCTCTACCACTGAGCCAAACCGGTTTCGGCTATTTTTTATTTTTATTTTTTATTAGAATGACCTAAGCAAACAGATTGAATTTCGCTTTTCCCACAGCACCTGTTTTCAAGGCTTCAGCTTTCTTACTTTAGTCTGAAGTCATCCGCAGCCAGTCTGGCGTTGTCAACCTGCAGCACCATGGAGGCGTTTTCAGCGGTGGCAGTAATGAACTAGAAAAGGCACACATAGTGAGTGAACCTCGGATGCTTTTTACCTGTGTCCGCACGCCCGCAGATACTGACTGTGGGGGTCGAAGCTGCTGAGGTAGCTTTCAAAGGTGAATGGCTTTGAGAACTTGCTTAGCGATGGCCCTTGTACTGAGGATTGGGGTGTAGTTAGACTACATCTTCCCGCAGGAAGGTAGCAGTTTGCAGTTACTGGAACAGGCACAGAACACAGCCCTCTGCCTACTTCCACTGCTCTGGAGAACCAGTTATTCCATGAGCTCTTTCAGAAAACAGTGTGACAAGTGAGCTCCACTTCTGAAAAAGTTTTGAAAAATATATTTTCCATGCAACGGTGGCAAGATACTTTAGAGCCCACCACATTCTTATGTAATATTTGCACCAGATTTTCTAGAAAGAAAAAATGGTTGTAAAGACTATTTAAATCTAGCAAGACTCTAAAGTATGTCAACCTGCCGGAATCAATCCTGAAATAGATTAAGCTAGTTTTGACTCATTGTCATCATTCATATATACATGTTAACCAGCCTGTCATTGTATAAATTTTGCTCTTATGTAGAAATACTCAGATTTGAGATGCAAACAGAAAATTAATGTGGTTGGATGCCAGTCATAGTTGAAACACACCAACTCCCATTTTAAATACCCAACAAACAACCATGTTTTCAAATAATTCCTTGGCTTACCATCTTCATTCCTGCACATATTCTCAATAAAAGCAAAAGAGGCCAATAGAAGCTCAGCGGTGGGTAGGGTCTTACCTGATTCCTGAGATCTTCAATGATGGGCCAGTACTTGCTGTAATCTCTCCCGGACCCACCATCTCCAGACCTGGGCCCACGCTTGTCATACCATTCATTGATTTTGTTCTCCAGATCAGCATTAGCCTCCTCCAGGGCTCTGACCTTGTCTAGGTAATTGGCCAGGCGGTCATTGAGGTTCTGCATGGTTTGCTTTTCACCTCCAGAGAAAAGCCCGCCATCGCCAGTACCACCACCCAAACCACCACCATAGCTGTAGAAGCCTCCGCTAGCACCGCCACCGAATCCAGACCCCCCGCCGAATCCAGAGCCCCCACCGAATCCAGACCCCCCACCGAATCCAGAAGCCCCGCAAAATCCTGAACCCCCACCAAAGCCAAGTCCAGAGCCTGAAGCTCCCCCAAAACCACTCCCGACTGAGCAGCTACCAAAACCCCCTCCAAGGCCACCGCTCAACCCTCCACTCAGGCCACAGCTGCCAGCTCCTCCTCGGAAGCCCCGGGCAGAGCTGCCCCCTGGACCACATCTGCTTTTGCTGCTGCCCCCAGCAGATACCCTGACCGAGCTGCTGCCTCCAGCTCGGGAGGAGGAGATCCGAGATGAGCAAGACATGATGGGAGCAAAGGTTGAGCGTGCCCAGGCGAATAGGAAAGGCGAAGAGCGTATGTGTTTGCAGGCTGCTTTTTGGCCCTTATATGCACTCTTTTAGGGTGTTCCTCTCCTGTCACTTCTTAATCCCCATTACAGTTTTGCTAATCCGCAATTGGATAATGTCTTTTTCCTGAATCCACTCGCCTGGCTCTCTTGTTGAAGCTGGGTCAGAGCCCGGGGCCATTTACTATAACAAGGAAACATCAACAAGGTGGGGCAAAGGAAAAAAAAAAGTTATTCCCAGAATGACAGTTTGACTCTTTCAAGTTTGGCCTGATAATTCCTTTCTGAAGGAGCGACTCTATTAGATTGGCTTTATGAACTCCCAATTGCAGGGCACAGATTCACAAATGTCAGTACAATACGTAATGTGAGGAGGGGGATTTCCCGTCAGGCTTGTAACTTTTCGTTTCGATTGTTCTCTTAAAGTTGAAACTGGCTCCAGCATCAGCATTGGTTTTAGATGGACCCGCCTTTCCCTATGATTATTTCCGTCGGCATATTTCTGAGGCTGTTGAAGTTTGTGATTTTCAGGTTATTGTCTTTTTTATTTTTTTAATTTAGAGATCAAATGAGATATTTTTACTGTTGATAAGAAAAACAAATAAAAAACAGTCTTCCATGTACACGTTATTATGTCTCAGCAACCTGTTTACTCAATCAGAGAATGTCTAAGAAAGCTGGTAGACAGACTGTGTTAGCATCAGATCAGTGACTGGTAAGTTGCTACAAAGAGTGGGACTTTCTGATTGAGTCTGACAGAATGATACCAACTTCCCTCTTTAGAATCAAATCTTACGAAACTAGAAGATGAGACTGATTTCATCTTTGTTTTAAAGACGTCTGGAGAAGAGGATCGGAATCCACTTCTGCTAACCGATGTTATCGAGTCATTTGCAGATACTGAAGTCTGGAGTTTCCCCAGTACCTTTGCTCTTGTTTTTTTCTTTTCTTTTTTTTTCTTTTTTCTTTTCTGTTCTATTTTGTTTAAAGACATTTAGAAAAGAGAACCTGTACCCACTTCAGATAACTAATGTTATGACTGGGGTCATTGTATAGACACTGAAATCTAGAATCCTCCCCAGGTCACTTTTTGCTTCCTGTTTTTCTGTCTCTCTATACTTTAGATTTTTCCATTCAGCTCTGCTAGTCAGTAAAAGTATGTGTGTGTGTGTGTGTGTGTGTGTGTGTGTGTGTGTGTTTAAGGTATATACTGTATGATTCTACTTATATGATGTAGCTGGTGTAGTCAAACTCAGAGACAGGAAACAGAGTGGTGGTGCCAGGGGCTAGGGAAGAGGCAGTGGGGAGTTGTTTAATGGATACAGTTTTAGATTTGCAAGAGAAAAAGAATTCTGGAGATTGGTTGCTTAGCAATATGAATATATTTAACACCACTGCACTCTGGCCTTAAAAATGATTACGATGGTCCATTTTATGTTATGTGTATTTTACCACAAATTAAAAAAATCTTGTAATAAACGTATAGATGCTTTAAATATATTTCTTGACCTTCGTTTATTTAAAACTTTCTCCTTTATCTTGGCATTGTCTGTTAAACCATGTACACGCTTTAATCCTTACATTTGATCTTTTTTATTTTTATTTTATTGAGTTTTTTACAGAGAGGAAGGGAGAGGGATAGAGAGTTAGAAACATTGATGAGAGAGAAACAGATCAGCTGCCTCCTGCACACCCCCACTGGAAATGTGCCTGCAACCACTGTACATGCTCTTGACCAGAATTGAACCTGGAACTTTTCAGTCCGCAGACCGACGCTCTCTCCACTGAGCCAAACCAGTTTCGGCTGATCATTTTTTATTCAGTGTTCTGCCTTCTTTTAATTTCCCCTTAGACTGCCTTTGATTGGGACAAACTATTAAGTGAGTGGTAATTCCCTTGGCATGGAGCTCTTTAGGGGAATAAGTAGCTTTTATGTTCTTCCTGCATTGTTTTCGCAGTAGTGGTGTGTTTTCAGTCTTAGGGTGCTGCTTCAAGGAGTACAAGTGTTTTATAAACTTTAAATCGTTAAGCTGGGCGTAATTGGCATCACACCCTTCCCAGGTAGGGAAAAAACGCACCGCCCAGCACCGTCTGTTGGTCGTATTGCTTCACCCCTCCCCAAAACCAGGAAGCCAGAGAAGTCTCCACGCTAATGATGTAATGGAATGTGAAGGCTGGAGACGGGAGGGACCATCACTGGGCTATTCCTTTCTCTTAAAATTATGGAATGGAATCTTTCTACCTGCATCAGCCTGGCATTTGGTTAAAAGAAGGTTTCAAGAAAGGAACACCGGGTAAAACAGAGATTTCAGAGCACAGGGAGCAAGAGTTTCCTGCGGAAAGATGGAGGAAAGACACTGAGCAGCATCGCTGGTCTCTGAGTTTGGCCTGGGCTTTGTGGCATTTTCAGCCAGTGGTCCTCTGAGGGGTAGCTTTCTCATCCGGCAGCTCTGTTTACCTTCTGAGTTGGGATATCTGGACATCTGGGTCTCCACTGAGGAAGCGTGTGACGGCAGGTGTTCTATCTTGTGTCTCATTTTTTAGCTTTCTTGTTGATATAATTTTATTATGTACATAATAAAAACGTGTATACTTTTTTTAATCCTCATGCTAGGAGATGTTTATTGATTTTAGAGAGAGAGGAAAAGGGAGGGGAGAGAGAGAAATATCTTTTTTTTTTTTTTGAGAGAGAGAGAGAGAGAAAGAGAAAGAAATATCAATGTGAGAGAGAAGCAACAATGTGAGAATGAAACATTAATCGGTTGCCTCCCATACACATCCCCACCATGAGATTGAACCTGAAACCTGGGTATGTACCCTGACTGGGAATTGAACCTGCACCTTTTGGTGTATGGGACAGAGCTACCCAGCCAGGGCAAAATTGATATAATCTTCATGCTGGCATATGTCTGTTCTTTAAAATTCAGCTTCAAAATCAAGTTCACTTGAGATGCTTTTCTGATTCTCTATACTTCAGAGATGACTTTTGGGCAGGGCATGTACTTAATAAATAAAACAGCCATTATCATCTCAAACTGTGTGTCTAACGAGGCAGTGTATAAACAAAGGTAGAGGTAAACCCACAGGATTTTCTTGTTTCTCACTATTTCCCAAAGTGCAGTTTCATGATGTCTTTCTTTTCTTTTCTTTTTAATAGATTTTATTGATTTTTTACAGAGAGGACGGGAGAGAGATAGAGAGCTAGAAACATCGATGAGAGAGAAACATCGACCAGCTGCCTCCTGCACACCCCCTCCCAGGGATGTGCCCGCAACCAAAGTACATGCCCTTGACCAGAATTGAACCTGGGACCTTTCAGTCCACAGACCGATGCTCTACCACTGAGCCAAACCAGTTTTGGCTCATGCTGTCTTTCTGTGTATCTGTGTGCCTTTTCTTTCCAGTGGTGAATCTATCAGACTGATCTCGATTCTGTGACTTGAAAACTATCTACAACTTTGATGTCTAGTGGATTAAGGGATTTTTATCACATCTATAAATACAATCCTGTTCTTGCCTGAAGTGTTAGAATTCTTTCGTCAGCTTTGGTCTCCGCTGTTATGAGACATCCCCAAATTTAATACTCACTTGCTTTTATTTGAAATAACAAATTATCATCGAGTTCACAAGTTAGTTATTGGGATTTCTTTCATCTGTAAAATGGAAACTTCAAGAATCTGGTTAGGTGCCAGTGAGGGTAAATGTTTAGAAATGCTGGCTCTGGTGCCTGGCACCTGTTAATTATATGACAGTTTAAAAGAAATGGACTGGCTGAAACCGGTTTGGCTCAATGGATAGAGCATAGGCCTGTGGACTGAAAGGTCCCAGGTTCCATTCTGGTCAAGGGCATGTACCTTGGTTGCAGGCACATCTCCAGTGGGAAGTGTGCAGAAGGCAGCTGATCAATGTTCCTAACTCTCTATCCCTCTCCCTTCCTCTCTATAAAAAATCAATAAAATTTATTTAAAAAAAAAAGAAAGAAAAGAAATGGACTCATATCTCTGGGCTCCCGGTTCAATGTTGCTATCACTTATACATTGTTTTGAATAGTTCGTTATTAGCAGCTTATTTTTACCTGTAAAGAATAAAACATGACCTCTGTAGAATATGACCACTGTAATAATTGCAGAATTATTTTCAAATAGTCACCATTACCATTTTTGTGAGATAGGTTACTAGTATTTTTAAAATTTCAGATTAATATATTGCATGCTCTTAGGTTAGCAGGAAAATCAATACTGAAAAGCATGACATATTGTCCCTGATGAATCTTTAGCATTGAAAATAGAACAAACTTGGGAAATTCTATCTTCTGCTCACTCTAGAGAATATTCTGTTATGTTTTTCAAATAAAAGCATAAGACCAGAATAGTTAAGGAAAGTAACTGGGCACAGAGTATTTATTGAGTGTTGGCAGATGGTATGGCAAAAAGAAAAGCCCCAGTTTGATGTGGGCACAGCCTCTTTATAATACCTAATGTGTTATAGAGAGATAATAAAGAGCCCTTGAATTAACAACAACAACAAAAAAACAACAACACAGCTTGACTTGCTTCAGGAACAGGCTAGGTTACTGATTGCTTCTGTGCTTTATTTTGTGTTCTGTCTTTTATTTTTGTTATTTTGTTATTTTTAAAAATATATATTTTATTGATTTTAGAGAGGAAGGGAGAGGAGAGAGAGAGATAGAAACATCAATGAGAGAATCATTGATTGGCTGCTTCCTGCATGCCCCCTACTGGGAACTGAGCCCAAAACCCAGGCATGTGTCCTTGGCTGGAATCGAACCTGGGACCCTTCAGTCCTCAGGCAGATGTGCTAACCATTGAGCAAAACCAGCCAGGGCTGTGTTCTGTCTTTTAAATCTTTATTCTCCACCTCTGGGTTTGTGGTGTGTGTGTGTGTGTGTGTGTGTGTCTGTGTTGGAGGGGTTGTTAGTAAAAGGAGGTGTTTGCAGAGGGGGCAGGGAAGGTCACACCAGAATCATGTGGGGACTACCCTGCAGAGAATTATTTAGGGCGGTGTCATGGTGGTGGCTTCTGTGAGCCTCACCAGGCTCAGCTACCTGGATGAGAGCAGAGATTTTGCAGTAATATGTGTCCTGAGAAGCCAATCCCAGTGGATCTGGCACCATACATAAATCGATTTCAATCCTGTGCCATTGCCAGACACCAAAGGAGTTATAAAATACCTACAGAAATAGAGCTGAAATGCACCAAATTCTGTGACTGTTTCTCTTCCTTCCTTCTTTTCCTACCATTCTTTCCCAGTCTTTCTTTTTAGTTTCAGTTAAGCATATCTGTTTGAAGGCTCCCTTTTCTCCACCAGCATCTGCTCGATGACACCATTTTGCCAAATTTTGTTCTGGGAGAAAATGACTTGTGTTTGAATGCTCTAGAATCTCTTTAAACAGCTCTTTTTAAATTTTTTAACTTTTCCTGAAGATTGCTTAGTCGGTTTACATTGAGTTAAGAGAATGGGCGTGTGACTTTGTAGCGTTAGAAGTATTTCTGTCCTTCAGAGGCCAGAGTCGGTGTTGATTGAAGTAGGCACAGAGTTTATTGATTATGTTTACTTGAACAGTCCTTGGGACCTTGCCTCAGACCAAATAGACAATAGCTTCCTATTCACAGAACCCACAGACATATATAACCCAGACATATAAAATGTGAGCTGTTAGCTCACAGTCTGCGTCCAGCCAGCCCCAAAGAAGGTGGGCTAAAGTTCCTATCTTCTGGGGTAAGTAGGGGAGATATGGCAGGTGGACAGGCTGTGTTGGGAGGGGTGGTTAGGGAAGGAAAGTTTGGGAAAAGAGAGGCTGACGACAAACCAGGCCAGCCAAACAGGCTGCAGATTCCTGCAATTGCAGCTTTCTTGGAAGTCGGCTCTTCCCAGAATCCTCTCTTGATTTTAGACAGGTAAGACAGCGGCCAGCAGGTGGCGCCAAACTGCAGCTAGGCCAGGTTGAAACTGTGCATCAGAAAACTGGAGTGGCTTGGCTGGCTAGCTGCACAGATTTCCCCTCGGTATTGGAATAGGTTTTTAGCACATTTTATTAAGGTTTAAAAGGTTTTCTTTTAATTTTGTTTTGCTTTTTACTGTGTATTATTTTCTTCCTACAGATACATCTTTACCTTCATGCCTTCAGCTTTTGTTTGATTTAAAAAGGCTTTATCATTTCCTAAGTCTGTAAATATTTTTCTTCTTCTTTTAAAAAAAAAATCTGAAGTCTACAAAGGTTTTCTTTCTTATATTTCTGTAATCTCTATGGAATAGCAGAAACAAGTATAGCAATCGTTGAAGCTCTGTCTTCCAGGCTTGTTAGATTGTCACACGTATTCAGACTCATCATTTACTTCTTGGGACTAAAGCACAGGTGCCTACATCTCGATTTCTTGCTTTTATTTGAATTTTACATCAGAAACATTAACTTGAGATGAAATCTCTTGGGCATTATCTGTCACTGTCCTGGCTCCTATGTCTTTATTTCAAGGGAGAATTTTAGAGCCATAGTTTTCTAACCTGTAAAATTAAGGATAGTAATTCCTGTCCTACCTAGTGCACAGGATTATAAGATTATAAGTGCTTTGTAAATTGTGATTCTATATTTAAACACATGGCTTGATAATTTTTAGTTTTTTTTTTTTTTTTTTTTTTTTTTTTTTTGCTTTTGTGCAGTATTGTTTATTCCGTAAGACCACCTGCTGCTGAATTGGAATATCAGCCTGATTTCATCTGATTCAAGTGCTGTACAGTCTTCACCACTTTTTAAAATGTATATCTAATATCCGTGGTACTTTTACTAAGGGATTTTATTTTTAAAACATTTACATGTAATTATTTATAAAAATATGTAGATCCTATCTATATCTATTTTTTAAATCCTCATCTGGGGATATATTTTTCATAGATGAGGAAAAAGAGAGAGAAGAAGAGAGAGAGAGACACAGAGAGAGACAGAGAAAGAGAGAAGAGAGATGTTGCCTTTGGTACTTGCCCCCTGGGGATAGAATCTGCAACCTAGGTATGTGCCCTGAACCCCCAAACTTTTGGGGGCTCCAACAAACTGAGCCACCTGGCAGGGCCCTATTTATATCTTTTGGATTTAAGTTTAAGACTATAATTAGCTGTTCTCACAAATCTTAGCAATTAAGGATTGTCATTAAATGTCATGGTTGTGAAGACTGCATTTCAGTTTTGTGATCTCATCTCGGCTTGGTCAGCTGCTTCCGGGAGAACTGAGCTGGCCATGATTCACCCTGGCCTGTGGCGTCATGGTGGGACAGAGCTCTGAAATATACTCCCATTTTACTTCCTAATGTATATTTCACTAGCCATGTTAATAATTGAACTGTTCTTTTGCATCCTTATAGATTTACTTGCCAACAATTTCATGTTATATTTATCAGCATTCCAATACTGAGATAGGTCAGTAGGTAGGGCAGCATTCCTTCCAGTAATTATGCTAATACTAGAATCTTGTTCCACCTCTTTGCCTAATTTAAAGGATCAGATACAAATGAAACTAACTCTCACACTTCAAGCCGATACTTCCCCTGCCCTAAATCATGCAGGGCCAGGTACCAGACAACTAGAGACTGTCCTTCCAGCCCAAAGCCCACGGAAATGATTGAAATTAGGGAAGACTATTACACATTAGTTTCAGCACTGTCTCCCTCCTTCCTTTTGATTATTCCTATAACTGAATATAGATCCACCATTTGAGCAATCGTATTGCCTCTGCAGGTCTGTGTGAATATCTTTCAGCCTACGAAAGGACAGCTACATTCGATAAAATTTGGTTTCCCCATAAAGTAAGACTGTATCTGGTAAGACAGCCACATAAATACCTGAAAATTCTCATAGTTGCTGTGAGTAAACTCTTCAGTGAACCAAGAATGAGGTGGTGACGGCAGCAACAGTGGCAGAAGGAAGATAAGCATTTCATTAGGAGCAGTGTTGACACACTGGCTACAGTGTATGAACTGAAGCTCTGAAAATGCCCAACAAAGTTGTCTTCTTCTGTGACACAATTATCATTACATTTCAAAAATGCTTTCAAAATTAAGTAGTAAGTGAAAGTAAGTAAATAGAATCATATTACTAGAAAAAAATTTTTTAAACCTATCTTTATTGATTTCAGAGAGGAAGGGAGAGGGAAAGAGAGAGAGAAAAATCAATGATGAGAGAATCATTGATTGACTGCCTCCTGCACACCCCCCACAACCCGGGCAAATGCCTTGACCTGGAATCGAACCCTTATTTCCTGGTTCATAGGTCAATGCTCAACCACTGAGCCACACTGGTTGGGCCTGAGAAAATTCTTGGTTGTTATTATTAAGTGAACGAGAACAGTGGCACATAGCCCAAATGGCATGAAAGAAAAAAAGTATTTTCTATTTGGCAAGGAATGTCTGTTATGCTCACATTTATTGAGAAAGCTGCATTTCTGAGAACTCAAGAATTTTCTTTCAGATTGTATTGTTTTTGTTTCACATAATATGATGGGGGACATAATTAGATATTTTGACTCTAGTGGCCCCTGGCTAAGATTGCATTAGAAATAGACAATAAAAATAATTCAAGAATAATTGTAGTACCCTTAAAAAACCCCAGTTATTTTTTCTGCTTAATATTTTCAGATGGAGCTTGAAATCAAATTTTCATGGATGGGTTGTAATATGGATAATTCATCTGTAGAGGATTGAAAGGTCAACTAAGTCTCTAGGGTAATATTTGATTTGAGGAAATTATGTGACTCCATTAATAGAACTTGAATTCTGAACCAGAATTTGTGCTTTAACCTTCTTTATATTTGGAATATTATTTAAATATATACTCAAAGTGAAATGATACTTATAAATATCAAGTATTTAAAAGAAAATAAGCATTTACTGAGTGCTTATTCAATAAATACTCTAGAATAATTCATTTAATCTTTATAATAATCAATTGAGAGAAGTATTATTATCCAAATTTTACATATGAACCTGAAATGTGTACATTTTAGCTATTATGAAAGGGAATAGACTTATTATGTCAGAGTATGGCAAATTGGGGATTTTAAGTGCAAGTGTTTTTATTCATTCTGAATTTGTCTCATTTTGAATTGTTGAGAAAGCCTCATGAAAATCTGTTAATTTTAAAAAAAGTTTTTATATAAATGAAAAGCTGTTAAGTGTTCATATATCTTGGCCACAGACATTTTAAATATAAGACAAAACCATCAGTGATAACTTGCTGAAGGAAGGTTTATTGAACACAAAGAATTGACAACATTTTCTATAATGAATTCAAATGAGTCAATCACATTTGTATGTGACATTCTTCCAGATGAATGGAGATATCACTATTGATGGCTAGAGGTTATATTTCAGTAACAGAAAGACAAAGGGACAGACATTTTTTTTAGACTTGCTCATTTTTTCTGGACAGATATATGATGCATTTTCTTCTCGGAAAGCACTTGGCATATGCTAGCTCTTGTGTCTCAAATTAATTGCTTTGAGACTTCTCTTCCAGGGAGTGGAGCCTGGTGCTCAGTATTTTACTGCGTTGGTCTACTTCCTCCAAAACTTTCTTAACCACGATGGCTTTGGCTGGATCTAAAAATTAAAATTTAAAAGGAGATTTTAGAGAGTTAAGATGAATAAGATACCAATAGCTAAAGTGTGGAAGCAACCCAAGAATTCATCAATGGGTGAATGGATAAAAAAATATGGTAAAAGCATTCAAGGGAATATGATTCAGTACTAAAAAGGAAGGAAAATTTCTTGGCCAGCATGGCTCAGTGGTTGAACATTTACCTATAAACCAAGAGGTCTTGGTTTGATTCCCTGGTCAGGAATGGGTTGTAGGCTTGATCCCCAATTGGGGGTATGCAAGAGGCAGCCAATCCATGATTCTCTCTCATCATTGTTGTCACTTTCTCTCTCTCTCTCTATCCCTTCCTCTCTGAAATCAATAAAAAATAAAAAAATAAAAAAAGGAAGGAAATTCTGACATGCTACAACATGGACAAATCCTGAGGATATTATGCTAAGTGAAATAAGTCAGTCACAAAAGAGCTAGTGCTATATGATTCTGCTTATATGAGGTACCTAGTCTAGTGAAATTCATACAGAAAGTAGAATGATGGTTACCAGGGACTGGGGAGGGGGAATGGAGAGTTGTTTAATGAGTTAGAGTTTAAGTGTTGGAAGATAAAAAAGTTCTAGAGATAGATGGTGGTGATGGTTGCACAGGAATATGAATGTACATCATGCCATTGAACTGTACACACAAAAATGGTCAAGATACTAAAACTTGTGTTTAGTATGTTTTAACACAATAAACTTAAAAAATGAGTAAGAAAGTGCATCAATTAAAGGAATAATAGGATTTTTATATAGGGTGAACTATTCAATAAGCACAAACACTTGGACTCAGTTTTTGGTAAATTTTGATTAGCTAAAAATATGGCAACATGTTACTTTGTTTAAAATTAGCATAAAAAAGAAAAAAATTAAAAATATAAAAAAATAAAATTAGCATACATCTCTAAAGACAGACATCTAGCACTCACTGATGTCTACTACTAATCTTTATCCACTCTTACATATAATATATAATATATATTCTGGGAATATAAAGGCAATCAAGCTGTGCATTGAAAATGAAGTAGTTTAGCATAAAAATAGAATTTACTTAATTACCTTTGACTTGACTTCCCATGTTTCCAGACCCATATTCTTTAGACTTGTAACCTCCAGACTTGCAAGCCCTGTAAACACATGTTGTTGAAAACATAACAAAAGAATGAATTGGAGAGAACCCCTTCAATTCCCAATTCACTATTATGTTTTATTTAGCTGTCTGATGAGCACATGTCAGTGGGCTACATCTGCTTTAGCATCAAGAGGTGAGTCTTACATTTTCATACCGTAAATAAAGGGCTTGCTGCATTTTGGTTTTATAAGATGTGGCTAATTTGTACCTTGGAAGTAGAGTATCATGTTTAATATTTAGTGACTATGATAATAAATGTGGTCATATCAGTTTCCAGAGATCTAAGTTTCATGCAGATTTCATTTTATTACTTCTTTGTAGATTATTTTACCTACCCATCATCTCCGCCTATGAGGAGGCAGTAGGTCTCAATCTCTTTTTCCAGGAGGACCTTGATGTCCAGGAGCTGCTCATACTCGAGTTTCTGGCCCTCGGTCTCAGTTCTGACCTGGTGCAGCTGCTCCTCCAGGGCCCCGATCTGAGCCTGGATCTGGGCCAGCTGTGCACAGTAGTTGCTTTCTGTCTCTGTCAGGGAGCACTCCAGGGACTGTTTCTGTAAGGAAACAATGAAGAGACTGAGACGGATACACACATATACAAACTTGCTTTGACATATGACTTTCTCTTCTTGTTAGCTCTGCTATAATTGTTGATTTCCTGTGAACACATAGTTAAGAAGATGACATTCTTAAAATGAGCAAGTCTTTCTTTTTGGAAGAACAAGTCTATAGACATTGATGTTGCTGTTTTAGCTGTTCTAGATACAATCCTATTCTCTCTTAATGCTTTAAGTTAATTACATAAAATAATATATGCATACTAGAGGCTCAGTGCAGGAAATTCATGCACATGTAGGGTCCCTAGGACTGGCTGGGGATCAGGGCTCATCAAGGACTTCCAGCTGCTGGCCAGGGCCTACCTTCTTTCTGCGCTGCCCCCTGGTGGTCAGCACACATCATAATGAGCGATCGGTCTCCTGGTCAAACTCTCAAGGGGACAATTTGTACGTTAGGCTTTTATATATATAGATATTCTGAACATGGTTAAGAGATTTAAAAACATATGTATATATTTTTTATTGATCTCAGAGAGGAAGGGAGAAGGAGAGAGAGATAGAAACATCAATGATGAGAGAAAAGTCATTGGTCAGTTGCCTCCTGCATGCCTTACACTGGATATGAAGTGCGCAACCCAGGCATATGCCCTGACTAGGAATTGAACTGTGATCTCCTGGTTCATAGGTAAATGCCCAATCACTGATCCACCCCGGTCAGGCAATATGGTTAAGAGCTTTAAAACCCACCGGCACATAATTAAAATGATAACCCAGGCGACGGTAAGACATTATCCTTTCCTACCGTGGCTAAGAGAGACTGAAGCTCGATTTCCAGTGTTTGCAGATTGCGCTTCATCTCAGTCAGCTCATTCCGGGCGGAGGTTGTGGCGCCCACATCCTCAGAGATCTGCTGTTGCAGCGAGGCGCTCTGGAGGGTACACACGAGGGAGCACAACTCAGGTGTGAGCATCACCAACATGCAGCAGGCTTGTTTGCTGACAGAGACTCACCTTCTCGTTGAACCAGGCCTCCGCATCCCGGCGGTTCTGCTCCGCAAGTGCTTCGTACTCGGCCCGCATGTTGTTCAGCAGCACCGTGAGGTCCACCCCGGGCGCCGCGTTCATCTCCACATTCACGTTGCCCCCGGCCGCGCACTGCAGAACTTGCATTTCCTAGAGGCAGACAAGTGTGCAGCTCAGCTAAGAAGGGAGCTCATGGAAAGTCTGGAAGCTGGAGAAGCTTAGCTTTGGAAGGGCTCTTAGCGTTCACCTGGTTCCCTCTCCCAGTCTGTGCAATGAACTCCCTTTACATTTTATATATCCTATCCAGCAGACATCACTTTCAATGATAGTGCACTCTCTGCCTCATGAAATAGCCTGTTTCGTTCTTGGAGTTTTAGTTGCTGCAGTTTTAGTCTTTTCTCTGATGAACCCAATTCCAGCTCATAATCTCCAAGTCATCGATCAGTTATAGTTCTGCTGCACAAAAAAAGTCTTAATTCCTTTACCAAAGGAAAGTCCTTAAAATATATAGAATGAACCCGGCTGGTATGGCTCAGTGGTTGAGTGTGGACCTATGAACCTGGAGGTCACTGCTAATCTCCTGGTCTGGGCACATGGCTGGGTTTACAGCTTGATCCCCAGTAGGGGACATGCAAGAGGCAGCTGATCAATGATGCTCTCTCAGCATTGATGTTTCCATCTCTCTCTCTCCCTCTCTGAAGCCAATAAAAAATATTTTTTAAAAAATTAAACAAATATATAGAACGAGTGATGTCATCTCTTTTTCTATTCATTTTTAGCTTAAATGTCTCCACCTCTGCGGACTTGGTCATTATTTTATTTTGAGACCAGCTTGGATGTGTTCTCTGCTCAGCAATATCCTGATCTTAGCATGAACATGGTGGAGGGGCTGAGTCTGGATAATTTTGAACAGTTGAAATAACTATAAGTACATATTTATGTTTCTATGTTTAGACCTGCTTATCATTATAAACTTATTTATTATTAGTAATGGAAGGACATCATCTTCTAAAGAATCCTTAGCTGTCTATGAAGCTATTAAGCTTACGCAGGCCATTATAGTGTCTTGATGGACTTCGGTGTCAAACCGATCTCCATGTGAATTTTGGTCCTGCCCTGTAGTAGCCACCTGGGAACGATGCTTCACCTCAAATCCCAGTTTTCTTATCTGGAAATTGAGGCAACAAATAATATCCTTCTCTGTGTTGTTGGAAGATGTGACCTAGTAGTAAGACCAACAATACTGCCTGGCGTGTGAATACTAAATAAATGCTAGTAATTATGATCATTATCATCATCAGAGGGGTTGGAAGCAGTTTTGCATATTATTTCATCCGAGGTGTGTGCTGTTGGGATGCAGTGAGTCATTCTAAGATTGTGGATGGCAGACACCACTGAGTCTGTGTACCACTGAGACAACACGGAGCAGCTTACGCCTCTGCTGCTGGGACCCTCCTCCCCACCTATGTCCCGGGCCCTGGATCTGTCCCAATGACACCAATGAGGCTGACTTTCCTCCCTGTACCAAGTCCCTCTGGTGACTCTAGCATTCGTTCCTCCTTGGTGGTCCCCATGCCTTGTCTCTCTCCAGGTGGGGTTTTTACTTCTAAGGATTTAGGGAAACCTTCCCCAGTTCAAACAGAAACAGATTAAAAGATGCAACGGGGGTTTGTCTGTGAGTCATTAAAAAAAATGAAATCAATTGCATTCAATTTATCAAACATTTGTTGAGTAACTACCAGGGAGCTATAGCCATACTTGAACCCATATATTTATACAAACGTCGTTCTTCAAATACTTAAATTTATAAGACAGCCTCATAACCAAGCAAGCTGCATGTTTAGCTTTTCTCCTTTAAGCACTTGGCTTGACTTGGAGAAGTTTTTTGGCTGTTTAAAAATATCAAATTCCTTTTCAAAGAATAAAGATATTACAGGAAACAGCGGTTCTGAAAGCAATCCCAGAGATGTGTCTGGAGTAGTGGCTGTATGCTCTAATTTAGGATCTAGCTTCCCACGATGACCACTTTGGACATACACTATTTATTTGGAAGTGTACATTGTAGTGGAACAGTTTAATCCCAGTCTCATTATTTTTGTAGCCACACTTATTAAGAATATGTATTCGTATTAAGTATATATACTTAATGTGTGTATGGCGTAAATGTTTTAAACCTGCCACTGTGGTATAGAAATGTAGATCTAGTTTCCTTAGGCAGTCCTTACGGTACGCATCTTCTATCTCATTAGATGTAATCTTTTAAGCGTACCATTTTAATTACCTATAGCTGTAATTATCTAGCTGAATACTGCTCTTTAACCCTGACTGGTCTGGAAAACATGATTATTCTCCTCCCCAGTCCCCCTCCTCCTCCCGTGGGAAACAATGAGAGAGCAAGGGTGAATCTGTACAAAGATTTCGCCACTTCAAAAGACAACTCAGGCCTCTCGTCTATCTGATAGTGGTTTGTTAGGACCAATTTCTTGTCTAAGAAGCCAAGTGTGTGATCTCCTATCAGGCGGGGCGTGTCTGCAGAGGGGCAGCAAAGCAGACAGTCAGCTCTCACCTCTTTATGGTTCTTCTTGAGGTACGTCATCTCCTCGCTCAGGGTTTCGTACTGAATCTCTAGGTCGGTCCTGCACAGGGTGATTTCGTCCAGGACTCTGCGCAGCCCATTCACGTCACTCTCCACGCTCTGGTGCAGAGCCAGCTCGTTTTCATACCTTAAAGGGTGTCAATGATGTTCCCAGTTGGTCACATGGTTGGAAAAATAGTCAACAATCAAATGAGCAAATAGAATTCTGAGGTGCTCCATGTGGCCACAAGAGACATTTTCAAAGTCTCTTGTAGGGTAATTATTATTTATTTTGATGCATTTCTTTGACAGAAAAAGAATGCTTCTTTTCTGGCAGTTCATACTTTATATCTTGTGGCAACAGTATAAAAAAGTAATAGCATCCTATTTGCTTTAAAGCCCGGTATTTTAATATTTAATGGAGGGATTAAAAATAAATCCAGTTTAATGCTTCCCGTGAACCTCCATGGGTTCTTTCACTCGGAGAGTCTACTTACTTGAGTCTGAAGTCATCGGCTGTCAGCCTGGCATTATCGATCTGTAGCACGGCACTAGCATTGCTGGTGGTGGAAGCGATGATCTAGAAATGGAGAGTTTAATTTTCTTAAAGGCAACTTATTACAATCAATGAAAAAAGTGGTTATTTTTTTTAATCAGAAATGATTGCAGAGTGTAGTTTCTTACCTGACTTTTGAGATCATCAATGATAGGGAAGTATCTGCTGTAATCGTGATCCAGACCGCGGCAAGAGCCAGGCCCAAACTTCTCATACCAGCCCTTGATCTTCTGCTCCAGGTCGGCGTTGGCCTCCTCCAGGGCGCGCACGTTGTCCAGGTAGGAGGCCAGGCGGTCGTTGAGGTTCTGCATGGTCACCTTCTCATTCCCGGAGAGAAGACCCCCCTCATTCACAGCAAAGCTGGCACAGGAATTGCTCCCGCCTGCATTTCCTCCCAGCGTGCTGCCCCCGAAGGCACAGGAGAAGCTACTTCCAAAGCCACTTCCAATTCCAGGCAAGCTGCAAGCATTTCCAGCCCCGAAGCCGGATCCCCCAGCCGAGAGCCGGAGCGATCCCGTGGTGGGACGGGGACAGGCCCGCCTGGAGCCACTGGGAAGTCGGAGAGACATGGTGTCCGGGCAGGCGCGTAGCAGAGCTGTTCTCCCGAATCCTAGCACGGGGTGCCTTCTCCTCGCCCCTGTTTTGTGTGCCTTTTTATAGACAATTCCCAAGTGGGTTCTGGACGCTGTTTTGCCTACACAGAGGAAAAGGGAGCTTGCCAGCCTCAGCAAGTTCGCATAATTGGATGATTTTTCCTAATTAGTAACTGACTTTGCTGGGCAGCTGCCCTCGGGTCGGTGGTTATCTGAGAAATGGGTCTGGGTGGAGCCATTTCAGGTTCCTTATTACATTTTAAAAAATTGGGAGTGAGTCATTCTTCCTCCCCTCCTTCGGAGATAAAACTCATCAGTCCGCCACACCATAGCCATCTGGCGTCATGGTTTTGGGCTCTTTATGCTGAGGCAGATTTTGATGTTTTTGAGTCTTTATTATTATTTTTTCACTTTTATTTTATTTTATTTTTTAAAAAAATATATTTTATTGATTTTTTACAAAGAGGAAGAGAGAGAGATAGAGAGCTAGAAACGCCGATGAGAGAGAAACATCGACCAGCTGCCTCTTGCACACCCCCTACCGGGGATGTTCCCTTGATTGGAATCGAACCTGGGAACTTTCAGTCCGCTCTACCACTGAGCCAAACCGGCTTCGGCTCACTTTTATTTTAAATATATTTTATTGATTTTTTACAGAGAGGAAGGGAGAGGGATAGAGAGTTAGAAATATCGATGAGAGAGAAACATCCACTAGCTGCTTCCTGCACACCTCCTACTGGGGATGTGCCCGCAACCAAGGTACATGCCCCTGACCGGAATAGAACCTGGGACCTTTCAGTCCGCAGGTTGACACTCTATCCACTGAGCCAAACCGGTTACAGCTGTTTTTGAGACTTTAAACACATTTTATTGCTACAATTCTTTCCACTTAAGTAGGGGACAGAACTGGGATCCTGGATATGCCTATCCTGGTCCTTCCAATACCAGTCCCGCCCCCATTCCCACTCACCACTGTTTCCGATGGGAAGTAGCTTCCATTTTGGCTGACAAGCATCATGTTTTGTTGACACTTACTACAAGTTAGGCAGAGCTGCCTTCTCTTACCCATTTTGGCAATTAGGAACACACCCCTAATTGCTGTTATGAGTTGTGGGAGTTTGGAAGGATATTAACTTATTTCCTGACCCAGCAAAATTTGATGCCAACCTGGAAGCAAATATTTCATCTGTTTTTTTAATCTCGTGGTTTAGCTTAGGTGAAAGTCATCAGTAAATTAGCTATCTACTGGGTGGGGATCCCCATATACTTATTGAAAACCCTAAATATTATGGAATTTTTTGAAAAATCTGGAAATTGGCTTAAGGACAAAATTTCCATGGACATTTATGTGACACTGTTATGAACATATGAATTCATTCATTCATGCATTCATTTAACAAATATTTATAAAACACCTACTATGTTCTGGGGACTCAAGTTAAGTAGAATAATGCATCGTTTTGCCTTTTTGTGACTGGCTTCAAAGTTGTATCATGTGTCAGAATTTCTTTATTTTTTTAAAGGTTTAATAATGTTCTGTTGCATTTATATACCATATATTTTTTTAATCTATTCAACAATAGGCGGGCACTTGGGTTGCATCCACCTTTTGGCTATTGTGAATAATGCTGATATGAACATGGCAACCATAATTTTACTCTCTGCATGAAGACATTCTTTTGATATAAACAAACCAAGCAGGATCAAAGAGTATAGAGTAAAAGGTTACAATCCTTTCTCACCTTCCTCTTTCTCTCTCCTCCTTACTCTTTCAGGCAACCACAGTTCACCATTCCAGATGTCTGTAGCCTTCCAGATGGTTTTCCATGCATTTGCATAAATGCATAGCATGTAAACACACATGCCTAGGTGAGTCATCTGTGTTATATGTATTGCCCTGTAACTTTCTTTGTTTACCTTACAGCCTTAGAGCATGAATTGGTAGGTGTCTAATGAGATGGAAACTGTTGGTTGGTCCCCCAAAATTTTAACTGAGCAATAGCTACCCACAGTAAAGATTGCTTTCTCTACATTCTTTGTAACTAATTGTGTTCATGTGATTAAGCTAGCCAATGAGATGTAAGCAGAAGTATATGTACTAGTGTGTTCTAGATACTTCATCTAAGACGCAGCTGACACAAGTCTCTGTCCCATCGTCTCCCTTTCCTCCACCCTGCTGGAATGGCTGTGATGGCTGGGTCCCTGGGGATTCTCTGGTGCAAAGATACCAGCCCAGCCCTGAATACCTTACCTCTGGATTTCTGTGTGGCAAAGAGATAAATTTCTATCTGTGTAAAGTCCTGTTATTTCGTTATATTACTCTGGGCCAAACCTAATATCAAATAATTTGTTTAACCATTATTAGGAGACTTTCAGATTGTTTTTATTTTTTTGTTTCTATTATTAATAATGCTGAATATATTCATGTTTTTCTTTAGGATATATTCTTTTAATATATATATTTTTTATTTTATTGATTTTTTTTTTTTTTTTTTTTTTACGGGGAGAAAGGAAGAGGGATAGAGTTAGAAACATCGATGAGAGAGAAACATCTATCAGCTGTCTCCTGCACACCCCGCAACCAAGGTACATGCCTTTGACCAGAATTGATCCTGGGACCCTTGAGTCCACAGGCCAATGCTCTATCCACTGAGCTAAACCGGTTTTGGCTCCTTCAATACTTTTTGCAGTTCTTTTTCATTGGATTTATTGAGGTTTCATATACGGAGAATAAAATTCATCTTAAACATACAGTTCTATGAGTTTTTATAACACATAGTCATGTAACCCCCACCACAACCAAGATACAGAACAACTCATTAACTCCGCCCCCAAATCATCTCATATCCCTTTGTAGTCAATCTCTCCCACAGCCCTGGCACCGTGAACATGTTGATCAGTTTACTATGCCTATAATCTTGTCTATTCCAGAATACCATATAGATGGAATTACATAGTACGCACTCCCAAGGATTACATGCAAAGAACATGAGTAAGGAAGAAAAGGAAAACAAGTCTAGCCTTTTTATTTGTTAAGAACAGAACTGAATGGTTTCCTTGGGTTACTTAGCCAGTGGGATTTTGCGAAGGCAGGCTTTGAAAAACAGCAACCCCATCCCTCTCATTATGGTGTCTTAGAAGGTACTCGTTGCTCCATTGTAATATTGCTTATTTTAGAGGATTTTTCTTCAACTGAGTGGACCCTCAGTGAAAGGACACTGCTGAGTTGATCTAGTTCCTCAACCATTGTTTTAATAACAGTTTCTTCTTTCGAGTCTAAAATAAAACAAAGGAAAGTTTAGTGTTTATTCTTTTTTATTATATTTTATTTATTTATTTATTTTTATTTTATTTTTTATGTTCTTATTATTTTTTTTTATAAAGAGGAAGGGAGAGGGATAGAGAGTCAGAAACATCAATGGGAGAGAAGCATCGATCAGCTGCCTCCTGCACACCTCCTACTGGGGATGTGCCTGCAACCAAGGTACATGCCCTTGACTGGAATCCAACCTGGGATTTTTCAGTATGCAGGCTGATACTCTATCCACGGAGCCAAACCATGTAGGGTCAGTGTACATTCTTAACAGGTTGAAAGGGATTTAGTTACAAAGGGTAAACTTTTAAAAAATGGTGTTTGCCAGTTTGTGGCAAATGAAATGTTAATACTGTGTTTGAAGTCTATGCTTAGCAAGACCAGTGGTCTCTTTCTTCTTTTATGTACCACTGTTTTTAGAGAAATGGGTGTTTGAAAGCATAAATGAAACATGTAAATGCTAGGCAAGTTCAGGCCTGGAGCAACTAATGTCTTCTTTTAAAAATCATCCTGCCCTAGTTTTGTGGTTTAAAATAAAGTAGCTCTGCTATCAAAGCATTGAAACTGTGAAAATAATAGTTTCTAAGTAAAAAAGATATTGAAGATGGGTTCCCCATTTCAGTAATCTCATAATTTGATCACATCTGTTCTATAAGAATATGAAATACAAATATTAAGTTCTGTCATAAGCTTATAGATATAACTGACTTATTTAATACAATTGCTGGAGTTTAAAAGATTCACAACAAGTAAAAATCCTCCCATACCTTTAACTTGATTTTCGGAATTTACAGGCTCACACCCCTTTGATTTGTAACATGTGGACTTGCTTTTTCTGCGAAGAAAAGAGTAAGTTATTGCATTTTATTTCATCCGGGAGCTCATAAATAACGATGAATTGGGAATAAAAATTTTGGAGTTCTAATTTCAGTAAGATTCAAATTCTTATGTTTAACAGACATTTGTAAGTTTTTTCATGACTTCAATACAGTAAAAGTGATTAAATGGATGTTTAATCTAAGTGGATGTTTAGATTAATGAATAAAAAAATTCCCTAGTGAAAAGACATTATCTCTTTCATCTAACAATATGGGGACTCCAAATTCTCACTGACTTTTCAGTCCATCACCTGGTCAATGAACATGGCTGGTGTGGCTACTGTACAGAAGGCACTAGACTGTGTGCTGTAGAAAATGTACAGCCAAGACACAGAAGTTTACATTGTTGAAAAGAAAAGGAAGCACGTGCAAGTAAAAAGTTGCCTCCATTGCCCCGATCTGGTCCTGGATTGTTAGAAGTGAAAAATGAACAGTGTAAAGAGCATGTTGTTCGCAGGAGTGAGCCATCACTGTTAGGGTTCTTAAGACAATCTGCTGTGAAGACTGACACTAGTCTTGGAAGATGCTAAGTGATGGTGAGACCCTGGGCAAGATTTAGGAATAGCCTCTGATTACCGAGTCCCTTTGTGTGCAAGCCACTGTCATAGCACTTTCCCTACATAGTGAGGCACCATTGTTCCAAGTATTTCAGAGTATGGATTTGGTGTTATCATAGTTCTACCAATAAAGAAACGGGTTGAAAGAGCTTAAGCAATGTGCATAGATTCTCCCAAGGGTGTCATTCTGGTAAGTAAGCAAGTAAAAAATAAAAGAGGATGTGTTATGATGAGAAATGTACTTCAATACTAAATCACAGAAAGCCACTTGGATTAGAGGAATTGTTCAACTTTCCACAGTTAAGAATTCTATATATTAACGGACTGCAAATATTTTACAGACTAAAACATTTGATATTGCTGCCTGTTTTCATTTCAACTGGATGCAATAATAACTTTCAGAGGCCAAAGCCAGGTATGCTCTTTAGAGCAGGACATTCTAGGATACAATATTAATATACACTTATACTGAGAAAATCTGGTTGATGAGAGATGCATTTTTTAATAACTAGATTATGTTTTTCCACGAGTTAATATTTACCTTCCGTCTCCATCTATTAATATGCAGTACGTTTCAATCTCTTTTTCTAAAAATATTTTGATATCTAGAAGCTGCTCGTAGTCCAGCTTCTGGCCTTCGGTTTCCGTGCGGATCTGCTGCAGCTGCTCCTCCATTGCCCCGATCTGGTCCTGGATCTGCTGGAGCTGAAGGCAGTAATAGCCCTCGGTCTCCGCCAGGGAGCATTCGTAGGAATGTTTCTGAAAGAAGAACAAAGCAAGGCTTGCCTGTAGAGCCCGTCAACAACACGTTCCTCTTTTAAACACTCCCAAGGTGGAAGGAAATATTTGTGCGGCGTCTAAATCCTTTCAATCAAAATCAGCATTAGCAATGTTAAAAAAAAATGTTTTTCATTGAAAAAAGTTTCTTTAAAATTTTTTTTTTGGGGATTGATGGATCAGAAGTAATGCTTACGGACAAAATTCTTGATATTTAATATTTTTATATGTATTTAATATATTAATATATTAGATATATTTACCATTTCAGTTACATATACTTGGTTACCTATTCTGTTATATGATATTTGTATTTACTTATCACATACATAACACACACACACACACACACACACACACACACCACATTCAAATCAGTGGTGATTCCTACACACCGTGGCCACGAGGGACTGGAGTTCTATTTCCAGGGTCTGCAGGTTGCGCTTCAGTTCCATCAGCTCGTTCCTGGCCACGGTGGCTGCTCCCACATCGTCAGAGATCTGCTGTTGCAGCGAAGCGCTCTGCAGCAGAGTTGTCAGAGGGTTAGTGACCGGCCTGGGGGCCTATTGAACAAGCAGGCCCTTGACCTGGGTGTGTGACCTGCCACAGACTTACCTTCTCGTGAAACCAGGCTTCGGCCTCTTTGCGGTTCTGCTCGGCCAGGTCCTCATACTCGGCCCGCATGTTGTTCAGCAGGACAGTCAGGTCCACGCCTGGGGCCGCGTTCATCTCCACGTTCACGTTGCCCCCGGCCGAGCACTGCAGGACCTCCATTTCCTGGAGAAGGGATCAGTGTGGCTAGTTAAGGTGGAATTTTGAGAAGCAAAAGCGCTGTGACGTAAACAGTGAGCCCGAGGCAGGAAACCTGTTAGACACAGCCCCAGCCCGCAGAGTCCTGACCTCCTCATGGTTCTTCTTCAGGTAGGCCAGCTCCTCAGTCAGGGCTTCGCTCTGGATCTCCAGGTCGGCGGTGCACAGGGTCAGCTCGTCCATCACCCTGTGCAGACTGTTGATGTCGGCCTCCACGCTCTGGTGCAGTGCACGCTCGTTTTCATACCTGGAAGGCCGTTGAAGAACGTGGGAATTAATCGCAGGCAGGTGCCAAGGGCGCCTGCCTTCTTCAGACATGTCTGTACACACTGCTGAAGCTGATTGTGATGGCAAAGTGATCGATCCCTTTGGAATCCCCACTGATCTATGGATATTATTTTGGAGGAGTTGTTTTTCAGAGTTGATTTTTGTCATCCAAAGATGCTTAAGAGCTGAATGAAAATATGGTTTCAAGTTTACTATGGTTTAAAAAAAAATTTTTTTTATAAGGATGCATTTAATCTCTTGAGTGATCTAGTCTGACTTTATAAAAACAAGTTGGTACAAGTAGGGGGTGAGGGCGGGGAGATATATGTAAGACTTTAAACAATAAAGAATTTAAATAAAAGAAATCATGTTGGTTTTTTAAAGCAAAAGGTATGTTCTTTACTCCAAATATAGTCTTTTCCTCTTTGTTATAATGAGTGACTTTATTTTTTACCTACTTCAATCTGAAGTCATCAGCGGTCAGTTTGGCATTGTCATTTTGTAGGACAATGCTGGCATTGCAGGTGGTCACAGAAATGATCTAAATAGGGTAGATGGTGCAAAATGTTAAGTTTCAAAAGTCAAGGAAAACTCCAGATTTAATGTGATTCTTATCTTCTTACCCAATCAAGTATCTATTTTAGTACAGTTTTTTATTTTTTTAATTAAATTATTATCTGTGTACATATATTATTTTAGTACAATTTTTTTCTGCATTAAAAAGAATCTGGATTTTCCTTGGATAACAAATGCCTAGAACTTAAGAGCCAAAGTGCAAGTTTTATAACCATGAATACTTTTACTACTCTTGATTAAAAACTATGAGCTAAATATAAGATCAACAGAATGATTCTATAGTTTTAAAACTATTTCTTTTTCATTCATTCATTCTATAAATTTTTATTATCAGCCCCAAACCACTAGGAATACATCATTTATAGTTGCTAAGCACATTTGCTATGTTGTGTTGCTTTTAGGGTATGGACACCTCACATCTATAATAAAAGTATGCCAATCCGTATTTCTTACCTGGCTTTTCAGATCTTCAATGACTGAGGAATACCTACTGTAGTCATGATCCAGTCCCCGGCAAGAACCAGGCCCATATCTCTCATACCAGGACTTGATCTTCTGCTCCAGGTCTGCGTTGGCTTCCTCCAGAGCTCGCACGTGGTCCAGGTAGGACGCCAGGCGGTCGTTGAGGTTCTGCATGGTCACCTTCTCATTTCCGGAGAGGAGGCCATGCTCATTACCAAGAAACACAGCACAGACACCACTCGCCAGCCCTCCGGCACCGCTGTAGAAACCTCCTCCAGAAGAAACGCTCCCAAGAGAACAAGAAAAGCTGCTTCCTGCTCCAGACCCACCGCACACATCCCCAGCCCCGAAGCCTGTCCCTCCACCAGCCAGCCGGCCAGGGCCAGCTTGAGAGCAGACCCGCCTGGATCCACTAGGAAGTCGAAAGGACATGGCGACAACACAGCTGAGCAAAGCCAAAGCGCACCACCCGTAGTATGTACTCCCGTTGGCCTTTTATAGGATTCGGTATGTCACTTCAGCCTCTATTATGCCGATTTATAATAAAATGTTGCTCATACTCTAATTGTTGTTTTTCATAACTGGGTGATTGTCAATACTGTCCAGTCTGTAGGTGGAAAAGTGCCTGAGGACGTCTTTTCATATGAAGAGGCGTCAGGCAGAGTAATATTGAGTCATAGCCTCAAAGGTCAAACTTAAATAGACAGCCTTTTGACCTCTGGGATAGATTCATTTCTATCCCTCTATAGAATAAAAATTTAATAAGTCAAATGGGAAATGTCTACTGCTTTTGTTCTATAAATGCTTATGGAGTATCTTTATTATTATTCATGCGTTATTGAGTGTTTTCTTTCTTATTAAAATCAGATAGTCTCAATATAGAGCGATCCTTTGGTGATGGGAGTTTTTTAATTGATTTTTTAAAAAACTGAAATAATAGAAGTACTTTGCTTATCATTTTCACTAAAAAGAATGAATGTGGGGCCTTGACAGAAAGTTAATTGTATTGAGATTCCTTGGTTGAATCCAGGAGCAGAATGGCCATTCAACTAACTTCTGTCTCCACATTGTTCATATCTCTACCTCAAAAATATTGTTTACTGACTTTTAGTTTAAATTTATGTATTTAAGGTTATCATGAATTATTTTGAGAGGCGAGTATCAGTACTCATGTTGATGAGTGGGGAGTTAAATAGGTGAAGAGGATCATTTTCATTATTACCTAGAAAGCCAGTGATTTGGTACTCTGAATAAAAGGTTAATTATCGTAGCCAAGAAGGCTTTTCATTCTCTTGCCTTGATGCCATGGGAAGTTAACCTGTCTGGTTGGGGTTCATTTCCCTATTGGGCAAATGAAAATAATAATGTCGAACAGTCTCAAATGAATGTTGAGCTACTCCAATAATTAATGACTATAAAACAGCCTGCAGGGCACAAACATTTTGTAAATGTTAATTACTTAAATTATTATAATAAAGTGACCATGTCAGAAGGGTTAGGTCTCTGTCATTTATAATGGTACAAATTGATTGGTTGACTAATTATGGGTTTGGATAGCTTTAAAACTGTAATTTGTTCTGAATGAGATTTTTTTTTCAAGGTTGTGGGTATTGACTAGTTTGAAAAAACCTCCAATGTTACTGTCCATAAAAAATATAGAATATTGGGTGGCCCAGAATGCATGGATTTTTTTAACCAAAATATATATTTTTAATAATTTCTTTCTTTAAAAAAATAAATTTTATTGATTTTTTTTACAGAGAGGAAGGGAGAGGGACAGAGAGTTAGAAACATCAATGAGAGAGAAACATCTATCAGCTGCCTCCTGCACACCTCCTAATGAGGATGTGCCTGCAACCACGGTACATGCCCTTGACCAGAATCAAAACTGGGACCTTTCAGTCCATAGGCCAATGCTCTATCCACTGAGCCAAATCCGTTAAGGCTGACCAAAATATTTTAAGATAATTAATAGAAAACTGAAATTCAGACCACTTACCCATGTATAGAAGAATGTGTGATGAGTTAAGAGATGCAGCTCAGCCGAAACCGGTTTGGCTCAGTCCCAGATTCGATTCCTGTCAAGGACATGTACCTTGGTTGCAGGCACATCCCCAGTTGGGGGTGTCCAGGTGACAGCTGGTTGATGTTACTCTCTCATCGATGTTTCTAACTCTCTATCCCTCTCCCTTCCTCTCTGTAAAAAATTAATAAAATATATATTTAAAAAAAGAGATGCAGCTCATATTCAGGGACTTACTGATTTTGCTGTGACCTGATCAACATTTTAATCTTTTGCTCACCCAGGAATAAAACAAGAAAAACAGAGTAGTTTGTCAGTGTAATAGTCTATCATTCTTAAATTATATGAGACATTATGAGACTACAAAGTATTATTAACATAAACCACTGGTCTCTAGATATTTTATAAGCAATAATTAACTTGCAGTCTTTTGTGAAGTAAGTTAAGCATATATTATTAGGACCATTTGAAAGATGAGTTGATTCTGAAGCTAAGTGGCCACACAGATCACAAAACAATTTTAAAAAAATATATATTTTATTGATTTTTCCACAGAGAGGAAGGGAGAGGGATAGAGAGCTAGAAATGTCGATGAGAGAGAAACATCGACCAGCTGCCTCCTGCCTACCCCCTACCGGGGATGTGCCCGCAACCAAGGTACATCCTCTTGATCGGAATCGAACCTGGGACCTTTCTGTCAGCAGACTGACGCTCAGTCCACTGAGCCAAATCTGTTTCGGCAGATCACAAAACATTTTTATGTCAAAGCAAGACTGGAATATCTGATGCTTAACTCCTCAAAATGTTCTCATCTGCTATTCATACGAGCAACTCTCCTGACTTTTCTTCATCATAAATTTCTTCTAAAATAATAATTTAGCTTTAGTCCTTTCTGGAAGAGGGAGATAGATTTAATAAATTCTCTATGCCATTTCTATCCATGTACTAGTATTTCTTCCCTGAGAATGGTTATTTTATTCATGATACATGTATTCAGCCACATATTATTATCATTTTTTCAGAATATATTAGATATTAGAACATTCATTATATAACATGCATACTGTACTTGAACTAAACTTTAAGTTATTCAGTGTTAATGTCGCTTATCTCAGGATGCAGTTTTTCATTATATAATATCATCTTATTCTGATGACCATACACTAATTTTGCCCCAGATAAATTTAGTGTTTCGCTTCAAACATGCTACACTATCTTTTGCCATTCTTTGAAACTCACATTCTGCATTTGTTAGCCGGGTTTAGAAATGTTATTTCTCTTGGACATGAATGACGTTTTTTTTGTCACTAGATTTCTAGTTTTTTCCTCCCCTGGAATCAGATTCTAGAATTCTAACTCCTCCCACAAAATGGCTTCCCTGGTTTGCTTGGGAAGGAGACGCTGATGACTTTGCTTAATCTCGGACTAATTGGAGTTAGAATGCACTTAGTTGTTTTTATCCTGGCCCTTTCGAGAAGGAAGGTAGGCTCATGAGGTTCTCCCTAGCATGGTGCTATGTTGTGGTTAAACACACTGATTCTGAGCCACAGCTTTTTTATCCACTCACCTGCTGATGGGTCCTTGGGCTGCTTGCATATGTTAGCTATTGAAAATGATGCTGTAGTGAACATAAGGGTGCATATACACTTTTTTGAATTAGTGTTTTTTTTGTTTTTTAATATTCCCAGAAGTGGAATCACTGGATTATAAGGCAGTTTCATTTTTAATTTTTTGAGGAAACTCATATAGTTGGCTTTTTAAAAATATGTTTTTATTGATTTTTAGAGAGAGAGGAAGAGAGAGGGATAGAGAGATAGAAACATTAATGAGAGAGGATCATCATCAATCAGCTGCCTCCTGCATGGTCCCTACTGGGGATTGAGCCTGCAACTGAGACCCGAATCAAACCTGGGATCCTTGTGTGCTAGTGCCAGGCACCTGCAGGAGCCTGCCCTGTTCCTGCATAGCCTCTTCCAGGTGAGCTGGGCTGCAGCCACTGGGACCGCAGGAGCCACTTGGGCTCCCCGTGGGTTCCCACAGGAGCAGGTCTGCAAGGCTGGCTAGGAGAGAGTGCACTGCCCTCCTGGCTTCCGTGTGGCACTGCTGGGTGGCCCAGAGGCCCATGCTGTGCCCCAAAACCACTGTGTCTGGCTGTGCTCACTGCATCTCTTTGTGGGGACTCAGGCACTGTGAAAGGGTGGTGGGGGCGCACAGGGGCCCAGAGTCCAGGTGCTTCCCAGGGCCCAGGGATCAGCTGGGACCTGCCCTTCCACACCAGACACTAGTGTTTCCATTGGCGGCCAGGTCTAGGGACCACACCTGTGCATGAATTTTGTGCACCTGGCCTCTAGTATGGAATAAGAATGGTGAAAGCATACATCTCTGTCTTGCTTCTGATCTTAAGGGAAAAGCCCATTGAGTACGATGTTGGCTGTGGGATTGTCACGAGTGGACTTTATTATGTCCCTGGCAGACAGAATCCCTGGTGATTTTCACAGTGAGATGCTATGTGGGCGCCTCTTCCTGGCTCTGGTGCTCTGGGCTCGGGAGCCTGGTGTGGGGTTGAGACCCCACTCTCCTCAGGGAGAATCTTTGCAGCTGAGATATCCCTATTGGATCTGAGCTGCCACCTGTGGGAACAAAGCCAGCCCTTTTTGCATTTCCACCCTTCCTACCCATCTCGATGTGGCTTTCTTTGTAAATTATTGGTTATAAGACTTCTGTTCAGCTGGTCTTCAGTTGGTTATTCAGGTTGGTTGTTCTATGTTTTAGTTGTCATTCCAGTTTGATTCCTGGGAGGAGGTGAGTGTAGCTTCCACCTACGTTGCCACTGGTTTGGATCTCCCAATCTTTCATCTTTCTTAAGGTAGGCAGTTATCACTATAAAGTTCCTACTTAGTACTGTTTTTCTGCATCCCATAAGTTTTGATAAATTGAATTTTTATTTTCATCTGTCTCAATGTATTTTTCTATTTCTCCTTTGATTTCTTTGACCCATTATTTGCTCAGGAGTATTTTGTTAAATTTTTATATATATTTTTTTCTTCTAAAAGTTCCAATTTTCCTGCTATTATTGATTTCTAGTTTCATACTAGCATGGTCAAAAAAGATACTTATTATGATATCAGTCTTCTTAGATTTGTTTTGTGGCCTAACATTGTGAAATCGACCACTTGCCTTATCTAGTCCTCACATTTCTCTCTTCCTTTCTACCTTCAAATATGACCATATTTAGTGGGTTTCCCCCCATTTTTAGGATATTTCTGATTCTCCAGTTCCTTATTTCCACTTCTCTGCCATGCTGCACTTAGGGATTAGATTTTGTTCATTGTTTTAGTCTCATTACTTAGTGTGTGCTTAGTAAGTGTTTATACAAAGAAGGACAATATAAAACTTTACAGAAATGTGAAAAAGACTCCACCTACTTTGCCTGTTAAAATTTACTCCTAATTTCTGAAGGTCATTGAGTTAAACGGAAGAAGTTTAAAGCAAAATTCAGCTCCAACTGGGGGTTAAGTTTACAACGCAAGGACTGACCAGAACCAGTGAAGATGACTTGCAACAGGAAAACCTTTTATTGAAACAGCACCGCAGAGAAAGCCAGAGACATGTTACTACTCTAAAAATGAGTTGTCCTCACTCACTGGGAGAAAAGCAGAAAAATAAGAGGGCCCTTAGGGATCTAGCTTCAATTTGTCATTTTAATTGAAGGCCATTCTTTTGGGGCTCAGGTGGGCACCCTCTGTTCACTCTTCATGTTGGTGACTTTGGTGGATTTCTCTTCCAGGGTTTGAACTCTGGACGAGAGAACTTTGCCACGAGGATCTAATTCTTCCACAATTGTTTTAATCACGGTGCCTTTAGAAGCATCTAAAACGACACATATGGATTGTTAAGATTTCTCAAATTCATAAAGAGGAAACATGTCCTTTGGAACATATACAAATAAACACTCAACACCGCTTTTGTTTACCTTTTATCTGACTTCCTGGTCCTTTGTAGCCTTTTGATTTAATGCAAGAGCTGTAAGAATACAGAGAGCTGGTATTAACAATTCTGCTCTGTGTTTTGCCAAGGAAATGGAAAAATATTGATTTAGCATGGGAGAGCACTGGATTCTTAAATAACAGTAGAAGAAGTTTAGGTACACATGATGTAGGCCATAGATACTTGATTTTAAAAAATAGTTAACAACCTTTAAATTATTTTAATGTTTTAAATAATGGAAGTAGTCCTTACCCATCCTCTCCATCTATCAGGCGGCAGTACGTCTCAATCTCTTTTTCCAGATGGACTTTGATGTCCAGCAGCTGCTCGTACTCGAGTTTCTGGCCCTCGGTCTCGGTTCTGACCTGGTGCAGCTGCTCCTCCAGGGCCCCGATCTGAGCCTGGATCTGGGCCAGCTGCCCACAGTAGTTGCCTTCCGTCTCTGTCAGGGAGCACTCCAGGGACTGTTTCTATGGGTCAGGAAGACAATTTAGTAGACAATGTCACGGTGTTGTTTTAGAGTAAGGCAGAGCACATAGATATTTAGGAGCCCTATCTTTATGTAATGCAAATAATATTTACTCAAAAGATCCCACTTGTTCCATATTAATGGTTGCCTTTATTAATGTGCCATACCATTCTTATCTGCGAGAATAACACAGCCGCTGATGATGTTACTCATAGACCCAGGAGTGTTAGCCAAGATGAAGCTGTTTCCTCATAGGGCACAGTATATAGATGCCCCCCTCCCAATATAGCCTGTGTTTGTAGAGTCTGACACAATTTGCCACTGTCCCCCCAGAATAAAAGTTCCCCTACACTTTGCTACCTCATTTCTAATCATGTGACAGCCTTGTCTCACGAGGACTGTAGCTCTTCTATGAAAAAAGAATCCTGTAGTGACCTGCGTATCTTTTCCAGAAGTAGAATGACCCAAAGAAAAGAATGCCCTTTTCGCCTTTAAGTCCTTGGATTCATGGGCTTGTGGGTCCACATGGGTTTCTATAGGGTTTATCCCACAGAAGGGTGCTTGCTGTAATTTTACACGGAATAAAGGTGAGAATGTCTTTCCCATTCATCTGCAATGATTTTTATAACAAGTCCTCATTTCATATACAATTATTGCCTCTTTTGTGGGTAAATCTGGAGGTTTACTAGCCATTGTGGAAAGAAGGATAGACTTGGGAATTAGACAATTTGGAGAGAAGTTATGGTTCCTTCGGATCCAACTGTGGGACTCTGGGAAAACTGCCTACCTTCTTTGAATCTCAGATTCTTCTTTTGGAAATAATGACAGGAATTATAGTCTTTCCTGCCTAAGCCCCAGAGCTATTGTGGACTTGTGTGGGTGAAAGTGCTGGGCAAACCCTTAATAAATAAGGTTATTATTATTATCATGCATGTAGGCAACCTTCAAGCCTCTACTTTGCTTCCTGTTTGTGCCACTTAAAAAGGAACGTGTAAGTGCTCTTCATTAAGTGGGCAAAAGGAATGCTAGATGAAGAAGATGTTCAGTGGTTTCTGATCTTTGGACTTGGGAGAGAAGATTCATGGTAAATCTATTTTTTTTATGAGTGCCCCAAAATAATTGTAGTTGCTAACTTCCCATGTTTTATAATAATTAGCATTTAGGTATGATTTTCAGGCAAAGAGGATTCTACTGTGCACAGTGCAAATGTGCCTTATGTCAAGCATTAATAATTAATGGCTACATATCTGTAGAAGAAAACTCTCTTTGAACTATTTCTTAGCTTCCAAAGGAAACATTTGTTGTTGCTGTTATTTTTTTTTTTTTAGTGATTTTGTACTGACCATTGCTAAGAGGGACTGAAGTTCGATCTCCAGGGTTTGGAGAGTTCGTTTCATCTCGGTAAGTTCATTTCGAGCTGAGGTGGTGGCCCCAGCATCGTCGGAGATCTGCTGCTGCAGCGAGGCGCTCTGAAAGGGAGGAGTGAGGTTAGGGTGCCGCTTGACCTCAGGGCCAGGTCAGTGCGCCCTGGCGTGGGCTCACCTTCTCGTTGAACCAGGCCTCCGCGTCCCGGCGGTTCTGCTCGGCCAGGTCCTCGTACTCGGCCCGCATGTTGTTCAGCAGCACCGTAAGGTCCACCCCGGGCGCCGCATTCATCTCCACGCTCACGTTGCCCCCGGCCGAGCACTGCAGAGCCTTCATTTCCTGGAACAAAGTTGTTAAACCGTGTTAGCTAGGATCGGAATGTTTTAAAAATGTATATATTCAATTGATTTTTTACAGAGAGGAAGGGAGAGGGGATAGAGAGCTAGAAACATAGATGAGAGAGAAACACCGATCAGCTGCCTCCTGCATACCTCCCACCGAGGTTGTGCCCAAAACCAAGGTACATGCCCTTGTCCAGAATCAAACATGGGACCTTTCAGTCCACAGATCAACACTCTATCCACTTAGCCAAACCGGTTTGGGCATGGATCTGAATGTTTTTAAAGGAGCCAGATGGGCATGATCCATACAGTTTGACATTTTTTTTTTTAGGGTTCATTTCTTTAGAGGAGGATGAATAGAAATATTCTAAACAATCAAACCGTATGGAGAAATTGACAGGTTCCTTCTTGCAATTGATTTAAGACATTACATTTGTCATCTGAAATGCATTTTTTTTTTTTTTTTTTTTTTTTTTTTTAAGTTTGGGAGGAAGGCCAGTTGTGGAACGGGACTGGGGTGGGGGTGGGGTGGAGAGGTGTCTACCTCCTCGTGGTTCTTCTTGAGGTAGGCCAGCTCCTCGCTCAGAGCCTCCAGCTGGATCTCCAGGTCGGTCCGGCACAGAGTCAGCTCGTCCAGCACCCGACGCAAGCTGCTGACGTCCGCGTCCACACTCTGGTGAAGGGCCTGCTCGTTCTCAAACCTCGGAAAATGTTTGGAAGTTTGATCACATTAGTCACGCCCCTTTTTAGGCCACTGGGAAACGTTGAGGTCAAACTGCTAAAATAGACTCAGAGCTTTACTTGGATCAACCATCATGCAATACGTGCATTTCTCGGAAGCAAGAAAATGAAAAGAGTCCAACATGTTCTTTCATGTGATCTTGACATTCATCTATGTCAGCCCTCAAACTTCCCAAGCAAAATATATAACTCAGGCTAGTTATCGTAATACACATTTGACGAACAAATAGAAACAAAGAATGGAGCCAGCCTCAAATAGCCTAAATAAAAGAGTGACATGCTTAAATAACTTAAAAAAAAATTTCTCTTCAGCTCTACTTACTTTAGCCTGAAGTCATCAGCTGTTAGTCTGGCATTATCGTTTTGCAGGACAACACTGGCATTGCTTGTAGTTGCAGAAATGATCTGATGGATGGAGAATGAGAGAACAGTGAGGAAATCCTTTTAACATTTTCAAATTTCCTTGAAGGAAGTCACCAGTGACATAATAGTAATATTTCGGGCACCCTGTCTTCAACAATAAGATGATTCTTTCGAAAATGGGAAATTTAAGTCTGACCTCTTTTACTCCCCCTCGCCTCCCCCCCCCAAATAAATAAAACAAAAACAACAACAACAAAAATTTCTTTTGATAGCAAAGCCTATAAATGTATAGCTGGAGACATTGGGTAGTTTTTGATATTTTGATATCATGAAATGCATCAATATGCACACTCTATACTGGGTGCTAAGTGAAACATGCTCAAAGATAAGAATTTTAATATACATTATTTTTAATATACATTATTTTCTTAACATTAATAATGAAGTACCGAGAATTAGAATCTGAAAGCAAAGCCCTGCTTCCTGTACGTGGTTGCTTATATATTTGTGAGTGTGTACATGCAGCTAACTCAGTACTCTTAGAGGTCTTAACCCTCATGGCATTGTGTTTCTTACCTGGCTCCTAAGGTCGTCAATGATAGGGAAGTATCTGCTGTAATCGTGATCCAGACCGCGGCAAGAGCCAGGCCCAAACTTCTCATACCAGCCCTTGATCTTCTGCTCCAGGTCGGCGTTGGCCTCCTCCAGGGCGCGCACGTTGTCCAGGTAGGAGGCCAGGCGGTCGTTGAGGTTCTGCATGGTCACCTTCTCGTTGCCAGAGAGGAGGCCGTGCTCGTTCCCCAGGAAGGCGGCACAGGAAGCGCTCCCCGCCCCCAGCCCTGCGCCATAGCCTCCTGCGGAGGAGCCGCTCCCAAAGGTGCAAGAGAAGCCACTTCCGATGCCCGGCACCCCGCACGCGTTCCCAGCCCCAAAGCCGGCTCCCCCGTTGGCCAGCCGCACGGAGCCCGCGCCCGCGCACGAACCCAGGGAACCCAGGCGTCTGGATGCGGAAGAGAAGCGCACAGACATGCTGTCCAGACTGGAGCGAAGCTGGTGCCTGGGACGAAGCTCTGATGGTGAATGTCCTGCTCAAACAGTTCAGTTTGGCTTTATATACACGTAATCAGGTGTTTCTGGATGAACCTTGCAACCCACAGGAAAATGGTGCTTGCCAGCTCATCATGAATTATTTATAATTGGGTGACTTTTTTTTTTTTTTAATGAATGTCTTTACCTTACTGTGTCCCTTTCTGTAGGTGGTTAGTTACCTTGGGGTTATATGTTATCTCCAAAATGGGACAGGAAGGAGTATTATCAAGATTATTATAGTGATGCATTTCAAATTTAGGATGAGTAAGGCTTCCTGTCTCCCAGGTTCAGGAGTATGAAATCTCTATAGAATAAAAAAGTGTCATAGACAGATTTCTCTTTCTCTTGATTAACCAACACCACTCCATCCCTCCCGTCTCCCCAGCAAGTGGGGTATCAAAGTGAGGTAGCATATTTATGGTTTTCTATAGATAATAGGATCCTTCTTCTTGATATGCTGAAAATATTCTCAAGTCCTTGGGCTCATGGTACCAGAGGAACATGACCAGGTCTTTAAGCGGAAATTGAAGAATTTAGATGGATTCTTCTGTGGTCCCCATCCCTCCTGAATTACCATTTCATCTTTACTGGTTTTCTGTCTAAGTTCTTTTGCTAACCAGGTTAAGTGAAGGTATTGGTTAACCTGTCTAGACCTCAGACTCCTCATCTGTAAAAGGAAGGGGCTAGACTATGTCCTGTATGTTCGCTTCTATTTCTAGATTTAAAAAAAAAATGTAAATAGGGTCGCTTCTGTGTAGTGGCATTATAGGTGGATTTTATTGTTTAAAAAAAATGTTGTCTTTGTTGATTTTTAGAGAGAGAGAAAAGGAACATTGATGTAGATCAAAACATTGATTGCCTCCTACGTGTCCTCTACTGGGGATGGAGCCCACAAGCGGGGCATGTGCCTGCTTGGAAATTGAATCACAACCGTTTGGTGTACTAGACAAGCCTTGATCAACTGAGCCACCCTGGCCAGAGCTATTTCTGTATTTCTTGCATTTTTACATTTCTTTCATTATTTCTAGAAAACGTTTCTGCATCCATTTTCTCCACTTTTCATTTCCTACTCCCTCCTGAATTTGATCCTGCCACTTCATGAAAATAATCTCTCAAAGATGGCTAATTACCCCGCATCACTAATCCAGCCATCATTTCTCATATTTCTTCTCCTATACTTTCTTAGACACATTTGATACTAAATTCAGTTTCCTGAATTTTTAATAATTGCTTTCTGAGAACACTTCTGTATCTCTGCTCTTCTTCTTTCTTTGTAGTTCATAGTTTCTTGCTCTAAAATTTGCCATTTCTGACATTCTGTGCTTGGTGTTCCTGATTTGTACACACTCTCTCTTGGTGATCTCATCCCTTCTTGGCTCCAGGTGCATTTTCTAAATATAATACATCTTTAGCACCATCCTTTCCTCCCTTCTAGATCCACACCTTACGACACCTCCAAACATTTCTACTTGGATATTCTGTCTTGACTTTAACTCAACACGTAATTACGTTGGCATCAAAATTTGATCTTTTTCATCTTTCTTCATTAGTTGCTGGTGGAATTACTGTGCCATGCTCAAGATTACTAAGAAATCTCTAACTGCTATTTTCTACTAGCCCACAGACAATAGGTCAGTAAGTCCTCTTGAATCTACTTTTGCAGTCTCTTGAAGCATTTTTCTCTTTTCTCTTTTCCTTGTCACTATCATTTTCTTTCAAATCAGTTAGTAGAACCTTAATTGGATTTCTGGTTTCAAGTCTTTTCTTTCTATCATGGTCATTAAGTTGTTGGGTGGCAAGGTTATTCCTGAAGTACACCATCATTCATGGAAGAACTTGGACTGTTTTAAAAAATTTTTTATTGATTTTTTTTTTAAGAGAGAGAGAGGAAGAGGGATAGAGAGGTAGAGACATTGAGAATTGAGGCCAAAACCTGGGTATGTGCTTTACTGGGAATCAAACCAGTGACCTCTTGGTTCCTGGTTTGACACTCAACTGCTGAGCCATACTGGTGGGCTAACTTGGACTCTTGAATCAGATATATCAGCATTCGTATCCCCACTTTCTAGTTGTGAGCCATTGATGGGGAAATCAGAATGGCTCAGAATGTCTCAATAGCCCTGGAAGCCATGATTCCCATGAAGAGTGTCTGAAAAATTCTAACGGAAAACACTGTCCAACCTAAAGTTCTCTACTTTGACAATTCATCATGAGTGAGGGTGAAATAAAAATATTTTCAGACAAGAATATCTCACAAATTTACCTTTTGCAAACTTTGTCAGGAAACCACCAGAGGGCAAAATGAATAAGTAAAGGGAAGGCTTAGAATCCAAGACAAAATAAATTGCAAATCATTATTTATTAGTCATGAGTGAATGTAAATGAATGCACATTACGTTTTTATTTATTTGAAAATAAACACCCTTTTTCCAGTAAAAGGTAACAAAGAAAGCAGGCCCCCCTGTAAGAAACTTATCTTTAAGGTAGAAAGTATTTTTATTATCTCCTTGATATTTAGAATAATGCAGTAGAGCAGGATTCTGCTCCAAATTATTATTTTCTCAAAAATAACAGTTAGAAAGAAACCCTTTGATCTGTCTTGCCATTGGTAATTTTAGATGTCTTTTCTTCAATGGACTGAATCCTCGATGAAAGGACTTTACCACGTTGATCTATCTCTTCAACCACCGTCTTTACCAGCGTGGTTTTGGATAAATCTAGAAGTAAAACATATGTGAGTACATATATTTAACCTAAAAGATTGCATGACAAAGAATTCAAGTGTTGGTTGTAATATAATATATTACGTACATTTTTGGTGAGGGAATAAATATCTCTCTATATAAAAGCTTAAGTGACTGGCTGACGGCCAACCGGCTGACCAGCCGACTGACCAGTAGCTATGAAAACACTGACCATCAGGGGTAGAAGCTCAATGCAGGAGCTGCCAAGCTTTGGTCACTTGGCAGCTGTGGTTCTTGGGTTTCAAACCTGGAACCAGAGAGGAGGGAGCCTGATTCTGGGGTGTCTCACCCGAGAACCACCCTCTCAAAATCCAGGACCCCTCGGGATGTCAGCTGGTTTTATCGCAATCCCTGCAAGCCAGGCCAAGAGATCCCACTGGTGCACGAATCCATGCACTGGGCCTCTAGTAGATTTATATTGATACTGAATGTCCCAAAAATATATGCATACATGTTGAATAATTATAAAGGCAGTGTTTATTAAAATACATTTTATTTTTAAAATTGAGCTATCAGCTGTGAAAGTGTGTATACATTTTTGTGGGGGATGCCCCATAGTATAGAACAGTTTTATCCATTTAAAATAATATTTTAGGTTCCAAGCTAAGCACTTTGATTTAAATTGTTTAAATATAGACTGTTGCCGTAGTGTACTGTACAGTTGCCATTAATGCAAAAGTATTTGCTGCAATAGAAATACAATTAGGCCCTGACTGGTTTGGCTCAGTGGATGGAGCATTGGCCAGCAGACTGAGGGGTCCCAGACTGGATTCTGTTTGGGGCCATGTACCTTGGTTGCGGTGGAGGGTGTGCAGGAGGCAGCTGATGGATGTTTCTCTCTCATTGATGTTTCTAGCTCTCTGTCCCTCTCCCTTCCCTTTTGTAAAATATCAATAAAAAGAAAAAAGAAAAAAAGAAATACAATTATGTTTTATTACCTTTAGATGAATTCCCTGAGCTTCCTGATCCAATGCCCTTTGATTTGGAGCACGAGCTGTAAAAAACAGTGACAGTTTAGTTTTTAATAATTCTGTCTATCACTTTTGAATTGATAGGTGAACATGAACTGAGTGAACTTTGTATGCCAAAACCAGATCTTTTTTTTTTTTTTTTTTTTTTTTTTTTTTTTATAAAGGAAAATAGATTTTGAGGGGCAGGAGCTGAAGGTAATTAAATGCTATATATAGATAATCTTATTTAGATTTGATTTTTTTAAACCCATAGGTTTAGAGGCTGTGGTGTACGAAACATGGAAGAGATGAAGGCAGAGGTAAGAGACAAACAGGCTTTTCTGCTGTGGGAATAAAGAAGAAAAGGATGAGGCCTGGAAGGTGAACAGACAATGCGTGATGCTACTTACTTTCCATCTCCATCTATCAGGCGGCAGTAGGTCTCAATCTCTTTTTCCAAGTGGACCTTGATGTCCAGGAGCTGCTCGTACTCGAGTTTCTGGCCCTCGGTCTCGGTTCTGACCTGGTGCAGCTGCTCCTCCAGGGCCCGGATCTGAGCCTGGATCTGGGCCAGCTGCCCACAGTAGTTGCTTTCTGTCTCAGACAGAGAGCACTCCAGGGACTGTTTCTGAGGACATAAAAGATGTCAGAGCAAAGGGTGAAGCCACTTGGAGGGCTATGTAGGCCAGTGTTTTCCAGCAAAATGCAGTTCTGCTGGTCAGGCAAGCTTTGGAAATTTGTGGGGCTTGTCACAATAAAATGGGAGGTGGAGAAGAAGGGGAAGTGACTGGTTTTTACTGGAGATGGGTGAGGGGTAGGCATGCTAGATGGTCTAACATGGGCTAAATGGCCTTTTTGCCCTAAGGCGTTTCTAATGGACATTCATGATATTTAGGTAATAGTTCCTATTATGACCTACCTAGGTATTAAAAACGCTTTCTGGAGGTAGCGCAATAAGAAATCAACATTGGAAATCATATATTTTGAAATTACATATGTATTTTTGGGTTGATTATTGTTTTCGATCTTATTCTGCTACTGTCCTCAGAGATCTACCCCACCACTGTTCCCAGGCCTCTGTGCTGTTTTTTTTTTTGTTTGTTTGTTTTGTTTGTTTTTGTTTTTGTTTTTTGTTTTTCTAATCTGTCCTCGATTTTCTAATGTCTATCAAAGGTCTTTTCTTAAGCTGAAATGGAGATTTCGGCTTGACAGAAGTGGAATTTCAAGACAAGAGGCATATTTAATA